TTCAAATACCAGAAGCTGCGAACATTAACTCATGCGGCACAAAACAAGAAACCTATCGTATGATGGTCGCCAACCTTCGGTAGAAGACGGCACATAAAGAAGAAGAACAGCAAAACAACCTACCCATGCAAATCTTTCTTGTCCTCGATAATGTCCCTTCTCACCCACCAAATCTCGAAAATGATTTACTCCAAGAGTTCAAGTTTATGAAGATTATTTACCTACCAGCCAACACCACTCCTATCTTGCAGCCTATGGATCAGCAAGTGATTTCTAATTTTCAGAAGTTGTATACCAAGCATATTATTCGGCGCTGCTTTGAGGTGACGGAGAACACAAAGCTTACCCTTCGAGAGTTTTAAAAGGACCACTTTAACATAGTAATATGCCTAAAAATTATTGAGCAGTATTGAATACATTGAGTAAATGTGTACGAACTTGTCGAGGACAGTCTCAGGAGCTAATAACCGACGAGTTAGATGAACTACATTCGCATCAGCATACGGTGGTTCAACGAAAAATTAGTTTTGAAGAGGAGCTAGAATTGGAAGACGTTGTCTCTATAAGAAATATAACAAAGATCCTGGGAATGTAAAAGAAAGTTGCTGAGTTCGTAGATAAAAATCACCCCGAAAAAGTTACAACTGGTGGTGCATCAGTGTTGTTCAACGAAACTGCCTAACAAATTTCTGCAATATTCTGAGAGGGAGGAAGAAACCACCAACCTTCTTGAATAGTTTTTTAAACGATCTTCAGAAGTAAATGAGCAAAGTGTGACGAAAAAAGCGAAGACCACTGACGAAAATTTACTAATTGACGAAGCTTTAGTAAACACTTTACTTTTCCTTATGTGTTTATAGAATATGTATGTATTTTTTGTTATAAATAAATGTTTCTTATTTTAAATATATTTTTTGTACTTAAAAACACTTAACAAAAACAACTAACGTATTTTTTGGGACTGGAACGAATTAATGACATTTCAGTTAATTTCTTTTGCTTTGATTATTATTATAATTAAATTAAAGGTATGAGTGTAAAATTGATCGTATGCTTGAACATTTCCTTTGTATGTTTTACCATATATGTTGCCCACCTACCTAACCGTGGTTTATAGTCTTGTTTGTTACAATAAAGCCGCTCTGATGAATCCCTGAGCGTGAAAAGTGTCCTCCTTGTACAATCCTGTATGAATGAATACTAATATTTATATGTAATTACGTGGCTAAAGGTTTCAAGCCAAAGCCATTAAAAAAAAAAAAAAATTTCTTTTGTTTGACATACGAGCAAGATTACGGAACAAATTATACTCGTATGTCAAGGTCGAGGTACCAGAAGGGATCAGTAAACATTAGAAAACTCAAAAACAATGAAACAAGTGAAGCGTACACAGAGGAAATAAACAATAGGTTCTCTAATCTGGCAACTGAGGATGATGTTGAAAAGTCATGGACCACCATAAAAGAATCATTTACTCTAGAGTAAAACAACTATTAAGAATGAGCGGATGACAGAAGAAATATTAGAGATGATGGAACAACGCAGACAGTGTAAGATTAGGCAGGACCAAGTAGGGTACCGAAATATTCTTCTTCTTTGGGTGCCGTCTTCAATGAAGGTTGGCGATAACCTCAGCAAAATCATTTCTGTCCCCTGGCTTTTCTTATTAAAGATTGAGAATCCAAGCCAGTCCCACTCACGAATGTTCTTCAACCAGGACGCCTGCCGTCTACCAGGACCACGTTTTCCTTCTACCTTCCCCTCTATAAGAAGCTGCAGTAGCTGGTATTTCTCATTTCTGTATATGTGTCCCAAATATGAGGTTTTCCGTGTTTTCATTATTTTTAAGAGTTCTCTGTCGGTACCATCTTGTGTAGGATCGTTGCTCATATGCGCTGTCCAGGGGACTTTTCAACATCCTTCGAAATAACCACATTTCAAAACTTTCCAAACGCCTTAGTGAGTTGATTTTGAAGGTCCAGGGCCTCCATTCCATATAGTAAGGTGCTGTAAACCGAAATATACACAGTCAAATTCGTAAAGAAATTATAGCGGCGAAGGAGATCTGGATGACCACACTTTGCACCGAGGCTGAAAACCTATGTAAACTCGGCGTTAGCTTTAATCCTCACAAGAAAATTAAGGGAAATTGCTGGTGCCTTAAAAAAAAAACAAGTCACTGGTATACATAATGACCAAAATGAACTAATAACGGACCCTAGCGATATACTATACGACAAAACACAAAAACCACCACATTTGTATGGCCCAAGTATTTTGAAAGCTGAAATTGTTCACGCTATCAAACTATTAAAAAGTAATAAAACCCCAGGACCAGATGATATGTACGTAGAAACAATCAAGTTACTTAATGAAGAAAACCTAGACATTATTGTTAAGCTCTTTAACGACATCTACGATACGGGCCAGATTCCAAAAGATTGGCTTTCGATCTACATTTATCGCCCTACCAAAAACACCACGTGCGAACTTCTGCAAGGACCACCGACTAATAAGCCTAATGAGTTACTTTTTAAAACTTTTCCTGAGAATACTTCACACTAGATTGTTTAAGAAATATGAAGAGGTCAGTGGATGGAGTCAGTTTGGTTTCAAAAATGGACTTGGCACGAGAGAAGCGATCTTTAGTATGCAAACATTAATACAGAATTGTTTAGATCAAAGAAAGGATGTTTTTGTCTGTTTCATCGATTATGAGAAAGCCTTCGATAATGTAAAACACGAATTGATGATAAAATACCTACAAGAGCTGGGATTGGATGCCAAGGATATAAGAATTATCAGCCAATCTGTATTGGAACCAGACAGCAACAGTACGTCTTCAAAATTTCAACGGAAACAGAATGATTTCTCCATTAAAAGAGGAGTAAGGCAAGGTTGGTATACTGGTCTCCAATGCTGTTTCAATTTATACGTAGAAAAAGCATTCGCAGAAGCAGTGGCAGACTCTAATAAGGGTATTAAAGTTAACGGCATATTTATTAATAACATCAGGTATGCCGATGATACAGCCATAGTGGCAGATAACATCTCGAAGATCTTTAATGACCGTTTGAAATACCAAACGCAATAAGTAGAAATTACCAAGCGAAGACAGGTCAGGCAATTCAATACTTGGGTTGTTTGCCGAACGAGGGTTGGGCACCCGAGAATGAAATAAAGAGCAGAGTTGAACAAGCCAGAAATGCTTTTTTGAGGCTTCGTAAGTTTCTGACTGATCGCAAATTGGACTTCAACCTCCGATACAAGATGCTTAAGTGTTACGCGTGGCCTTGTTTTCTTGTATGGAATGGAAGCAAGACGTTAAAGGCCAGTTCCATTAAACAAACTTGAAGTGTTTGAAATGTGGTGCCTTGCGTCAATTGTCTTAGAATATCAAATAGGTAAAGAAATAATAATAAGACTTACTCACAATCAATTTAATTTAAACAATCTGACGACCGGTTTCGCTTTCTACAATTTGCAACTGCATCCTCAGGTCCAGATACAAAGTTAAACTAATGCTGCAATAAAATAAACCCAATTAGGGTGGTGTCTAATAAAGATAAAATAAATAAATAAGTTAGTTCATACAAATTATAGTAATTATGCCAATATTACATGTCTGTGGTTTTCAAAATGAATAATTTGAATATATTAAAAGGTATTAACAGACAAGGTAAGACCCACAATTGGTATAAAGTAGTAATATTATATTGTAATAAATTAATAAATGAGCAGATAAATAAAACAAAACAAACATTACTTACATGCCGGGACTCTATTAATTGATGGATGGTAGGTCATGGTTGCAAAAATGGATGGTAGGTCATGGCTTAGAATATCATTTTACGGACAGGGTCAGAAATGAGGAAGTACTCAGAAGAGCGGGCTTAAAGGATAAGGAAACTTTTTAGCTACGTAAAAAGTAAGAAGACTGCATACTTGGGGTACATATTACGAGGAGAAAAATACACTTTTTAGCAACTGATACTCGAAGGGAAGATAGAGGGTAGGAGAGGTCTAGGACGTAAAAAAATGTCATGGCTACGCAATATTCGACAATAGACAGGAATACACAGCTATGAAATGCTTAATCTGAAAGCATTACTACGAATTAGACTACGCAGATGAGGAGAGGTGAGCTTGTAATAGGACCTTGGAAACGAGGAATTGTGTAGCCATAATTATAATATGAACATTAGTGATAGTATGTCGGTAAACGAAAGGCTGAGATATTTTCAGTGGGAGTTCCAATGGAAGCTACTATGGGACGAACCGATAGTGTTGGTTTGTGGATTTTTGGCAAAGCATAAAACTTTGCAATGTTCCCATTATATGTTGTTAGTTTTTTCTTTGTGTTACGGTCAATCTCATTGGAAGAGGCTAAGGGTGCGATTAATGTATTGCATTTACTTTGTAAGAAGAAGTGGGATTGAATGTAAGTGAAATGTAAGATCTATCATTTTCAATAAGAGAATAAGAAAGTTGTAAGTAGTGAGTTCTTTCTAAGATGACTGTAACATTACCTTTGTCTGCTTTTGTCACTAAAAGCTCATGATTATATTAAAGAATTTTTATTAGTTTTAGTATATAAGTTATGAAAAAAAGTAGTAGCGTAAAAGTATTAGTATATATAAATAAGATAACGATGTATCAATATATCAATATATCAATACATACCGGTGGTGGCAGGTGAGTGTTGGTCTTTATATTTTACTGCAAGCTTAGCAATGTTACACAGATTTTGTATTTTTTACCGTAAAAGTTCGATGTGTACTCGTAAAGATGCCACATATTCACCACTACACTAGCACATTTTCTTGCCAGCAAAATTTAAATTTCGCTTGACCATGGCCAAATAATTTGTTTAGTTTATCAATAACAACAAGATCAATTTATAAATCTCTTGCACAACATTAGTTACAAAAATATGTGTAAATTAACTGTTTTTGCCTTTATTAAAAGATTACTTTACTCTAATTATACCTTACTTTTAGGAAATTTGCACTAGTCTACTCACCGTCCAACCCTCAAATAGACCAGGTGATGAATTATTTTCGGCTCGCTTTCAAAAACGTTGTTGCCTTGGAGAGCTCCCAGGAGCTGGAGAAATATTTCATAACAAATTCGTCCAACACTACATTCGCTGGTATACAGTTTGATGATTCTTATACGACCTTACACAGTTTAGACGATGTTAAGCACCTACAAGTATCTATAAGGTAAATATATTTTTTATAAAATATTATACGTATTTTGGCCCAATAGACCTCGTCAGAATGGCAATTCATAGTCGCTCTCAACGTTCTATATATATATATAATATATATATATATATATATATATATATATATATATATATATATATATATATATATGTATATATATATATATATAACACTGTTTTTTGATGGGTTGGAGTTTTTTTTTTTTTTAACTCTTGATAAAAATTGTAATCACAATTGAAAGCTCGAGTAAAAAAATAGTCAACAAATAGCCCCTATTATTGACCCCAACCCATCCAAAAACAGTGTTATATTTTTTTCCAAACGAGTCACAAGTACTTCTTTTTTCTTACTCTTATATATATATATATATATATATATATATATATATATATATATAATATATAATATATATATATATATTGTGGCTAAACACCCCGTACGGGGTTACGCCGCTTAAGCTCTCTAGATCTATTTTACGAGGTAGATCAGTCCTCATTTTCTTTATTTAATTTTTCTTGTTATTTTTCTCCACTGTTTCCTATCTCTGGTTTTTTCTCTCCATTGTCGTACGCCCGTCCTGTTGAGATCGTTTGTTACTTCTTGTAGCCATGTAGATCTTGGTCTTCCACGTCTTCGTTTACCAGCTGGTGTCCATTCCAATATTGAGAATATTGTCGTAGATGGTCCTGATCTCCATATATGTCCTAGCCATTTTGCCCTTTGCTGTTTTATTTTACAAACTATATCCTCTTTAATTTCGTTTAGTAGTTCATGATTCGTTCTTTGTCTATATTGGTTTTCATTAATTTTTATTGGTCCTAATATTGCTCTTAGTATTTTCCTTTCTAGTATTCTAAGGTCTTCCTCTTGTTTTTTTGTCATGCTAAGGGTTTCGGAGCATACATCATAGTCGGTCGAATTATTGTTTTATATATTTTCATTTTCGATTTTTTGCTCAGTAATTTATTTTTTAGAAGCTTTTTATTTGCATAGTATGTCTTATTTGCTGTAATTATCCTTTCTTTAATTTCTGTTTCCCTTTCTCCATTGTTTGCTAATAATATTCCCAAATACTTAAACTTTTCTACTTCTTCAAATATATATTCTCCCAGTCTAACCTTTTTGTTTTCATATTTTTTGTCAAATCTCATTATTTTTGTTTTTTCTTGATTTATTACTAATCCCATTACTTTCCCTTCTGCTACCAATTCTTTTAACATACTTTCCATTTTTTTCTGTTCTTTGTTATTATCACAATATCGTCGGCATATGCTATTATTTGTCCCTCTCTCGTTCTAAGTGTACCTTTGTTGATTTTTCTGACTATATATTCCAGGGCAAGATTAAACAGAGTTGCAGATAATGAATCTCCTTGACGTACACCTTTATTTATAACAAATTCTTCTGTGTCTCCTTCTTGTGTTTTTACAGTTACTACGGTTTTGCTCATTGTCATTTTTATTAATCGTCTTAATTTGTTGTGTATTCTCATTTCTCTCATAGCTGTAAGTAATTTCGCTCTGTTTATTGAATCAAATGCTTGTTGGAAGTCTATAAAAAGCAGTTCAATTTCTATTTTATATCCATAAGCTTTCTCCATAATTTGCTTTACCGTATGTATGGCATCTGTTGTTGACTTTCCCCTAATAAATCCGCATTGATACTGTCCCATGATATTTGTTGTCGCTTTGGCCAGTCTTCGTTGTATTAAGGTTGACATGATTTTATACGCTGTGTTTAATAATGTCAGTCCTCTATAATTATTACACATTTGTTGGTCTCCTTTTTTATGGATTGTGATAATTTGTCCTTTGTGCCATTCTTCTGGCATCTTTTCTTCGTCCCATATGACTTTATTATGTAATTTTTTCTTGATTAGTCACCATATTTTATTCTCATGTTTATACGTTCTACTGTGCTTACGTTGCGACTACTGTTTAATTTCCTAGACTTCTCTCGTTGTTTATTTACTCGGTTTCTATCCGTGGTCTCTTCTTCACTTTTCATTTAGTCTTCGTCTTTGTACTGTTAATATTTTTAAATATCAGTCCAGATTTCTTTAAACTCTTTGTCATTTTCTGATACTTTTCATTTCTATCCTTTATTCCTTTTATCTTTCCTTTGAAGGTTTTGTTCTGCTCGCTAATTTTCTTATAAAATGCTTTTGTGTTTCTATTTGTGTTTTCTTTTTCTATTTCATTTATCTTATCATTTAACCAGGTTCGTTTAATTTTTCTTATTTGTTTCTTACATTCTGTCCTTAATTTGTTGTATTCTTCTTTATATTCTAGTCTATTTGTTCTGATCCACCTTTGTCTTATTTCTATCTTCTTTTTTAACATGTTATGATAGTCTTGATTATACCATTCTTCTTTTTTGTTCTTCTCTCTATCCCTACATGTTCAGAAGCTGTTTCATTTATACATTTTTTTATATTGCTCCATTCTGTTTCAACATCCTCTGTATGTTCACCGTATTCCTTCAGTTTTTTGCTTATATCTTCTGCATATTTAATTTTCTATCTGTAGCATTTAATTTTTCTATGTACATTTGTCCTTTGTTGTCTTGTTTTTTAGCGTTCTTTTGACTTTTTGTCTTAACGTTGCGGTAACCATGAAATGGTCTGTGTCTGCATGTGCACCTCTATATGTTCTCACGTCTGTTATCGCATGTTTGCTATCTCTTTGTGATGAAGTATATGGTCTATTTGGGACCATGTTTTTGGTCTGGTGAGACCCATGTTACTTTGTGGTATACAGGGTGTGCAAATTTTGTACTACTGACAATCATATTGGTGCTAGTTGCTAAGTTGCATAATCTTTGACCATTATCATTTGTTTTTTCATGTAATGTATATTCACCTGCAACTTGGTTAATGTTTTGCCTATCTGAGCGTTAAAATCTCCCATTACCAGAATTGTGTCTTCTTTGGGTAAAAATTCAATTTCTTGTTCCAGTTTCTCATAGATGTTATCTTTTTCCTCTGCTACAGCACTTTCAGTTGGTGCATATACGTTTATGATGGATATATTAAATGGTTTGGCGTTAATTCTTCAGGTATGCCATGCGCTCATTTATTGGTTTAAATTGCATAATATTATTTTGTAATTTTTCCTGTAGTTAGAAATGCAACTCCATATTGACCTTGTTTTTCGTGCCCAGAGTAATGTAATGAGTAATTTTTTTTATTTATTTCTCCTTGACCTGTCCATCTAAATTTCTTGAATTGCTGCAACATCAATTCCGTATCTTTTCAGCTCTGAGACAATCTCTTGCATTTTTCCTGGTTCAAGCATTGTTCTGATTTTCCACGTACTTATTTTTACTTGCTCGTGTTTTTTAATTTTTTTTGTTATGTTTTTTTTATGTACGTATGTTTTATTATTTTTTCTTGAGAATTCATATCCTTTTTCTTTGCCATTTCGTATTTCGTTTTCTTGTTGGATATCCGATATTTCTTGTTGTATTTTCAGTTTTTTTGACGTCCCTTGGTTATCTTTTTCCAATATTTTTTTTTTCTGTATTCCATTTCCATATGTCCCCATCAATATTTAATTTTTGATAGTCAACTCGGATGTTCTTACCTTTAAGTTTTTTCTAATTTTCCAATTTTCCGTATTTCCTGTTGTATCTTCATCTCTTCGTGCGTTAGATCATTATTAATGTATATTTCTGGTTCGTTGATCTTAGTTTGTTTTTATTCCGCATAATTTTTATTTTTTCATTTCTGTCTTTTGTTTTTATAATACATGTTTTTTTCACCTAGTTTGTAAGCTTCTTCAATTTTTACTTGTATGCCCAATTCTTTTTCCATAAAATTAGTCATGGTCTTGTTAAGTTCATTTGGATCATTTGTATCCATCGACAGTCCTTGGACTATAACATTGTTTAGCTTTTCTTTCTTTCTCGAGCTGTTCTACTTTCATCTTTACTATATTTAGTTCCTGTTTAATTTCTTTATTTTCTTTCTTTAGCTGTTGGTTACTTTGTTTGAATCCATTGATTTCTTCTTTCAATTCACGGATTTCATTTTTGTATTCTCGTTGTTTCTCTTTTATTCCTCTTACCTCTTCGGTTAGGTATTTTGTTTGTTCCGTTAAATTTTTCATCATTTTTAAGAGCTGATCAATTTTGGTCTCATATTTCTGTTGTTTGGGAGGGGTTCTGGTGATTTTCTTGCTCTTGTTGAAAATATCTCCTTCATCTTCCTTTCGACTTCTCTTTTTGCTGTCCTCTGAAGTATAATCATCGTCGCTATCCATTTTTTCTTCTTTAGATGCTTTTTCTTCTACTTTCCTATTTATATCGTATTTACTCTATTATAGCAAGCGATAAGCTCTAGTTCTCCAGTCGACCCGTCGGAAGCTCTAAAACTTCTCAACGTGATAATAAAAATAAAAAATAAAATAAAAATAAAAATAAAAACATTTATTGCCTAATAATATGTAACATCTCATTTGTATATTAGCTTTCTTTCTTCTTTCGTCGTCTTGCACCGTCAGCTTCTCTGACGGTGCAAGACATTTTCAGATGATTTCTCCCTCTCGGCATCCTGGACTTCTCTGGGTGGTGTCCTCGTCTTTTTCTGTAGGTACTTTTTACGGCATCGTACCTACTTCCCTGCTTGGCTGTTTTACGGCAACCATCCGGCTAGACCCTGATCAGATGGTCGATCAGTTTGTGGGTGTGTCTATACATCCTCTGGATCCTGTTCTTCTCGAGGATGTCCCTGGTCTCAACGTGAAAATAAATCTCTCCTATCTTAGGAAGCCACTCTAACATGGCTTCGAATGGACGCAAATAGCGACATCTGATATTAAGGATGTTGACGGATTTTAATATCAGATGTCGCTATTTGCGTCTTTTCCTTTTTATTCCGATTTGTTTTGCCTTACAATTCTTACAAGGTACAGATTAAAGCAAAAATCTGAATTTGGTTTCGAAAATTCCGGATTTTAATATATATTTCTGTTTGTCTGTCTGTCTGAAGTTTTTTTTGATAATCATTTTATATATGGTATTGTTTTATTCCTCGTATTATTTTTTAATCGTATTTGTCTAAAACTAAACCTAACAATGAACAAGAGAGAACAAATAATGGTATTTATAAAATACTTTGTGAATGCGATCAGTTTTATTTAGGTGAAACATCACGGCCATTAAATGTTAGAATAAGTGAACATCAATCTTATATAAAAAATAAAGAATTTGATAGATTTCAATTAGGTAAACACGCATGAGATAATGAACATATGGTACAATGTAATGATTCAAGGTTGGTTCTTAACGAAATGGATAGTAAAAAGAGCAAAATCAAAGAAGCGGCTCTAATTAAGCTAAATGAGAAGAACTATCCACGAAAGATGATGAGAATAAGTTCTTCGGCACAATGCAGTAAGATCTGGTTACCATATTAAAAGATAAAGTTAATAAAAGGAATAATATCAGTTGTATTTTTCAATAACCACCACAGTCACCTATATTTGCTTACCTATTTACATCTGCTTGATTAGTAGCCATGCACGTAAACACTTAGTCAAAATCTCATAGACCTATTTTAGATTCTTTTCTCAAGAATGGAGATCAAGCATCCTAATTCCTCTCTTTAAAAAGGCAGACAAATCGGACTCGGAAAATTACAGAGGAATTAATCCAACAACTATCAAACACAACACTACAATTAACAACCAAAGTGATAACAATGAAACTAAATGAAATTATACTATTAGCAGAAGAACAAGAAGGATTCAGGTGGCGAAGATCATGCACTACATAATCTGCTATGCAGACAACGCAATACTACTTTTTTTAAGTAAAGATGATTTACAAGGTATGCTGCACCAATTTAATATAACCACCAGAAAAATTAACATGGTCAGTTCCCCAAAAAAGACAAAATGCATGGTTATAACAGCAAATTTACTAAGACGTAAATTGGAGCTGGAAGGTCAGGTAATACATAGAACAAGTGATGCAGTTTAAATATCCAGGCATCACTTTATCTAAGTACGCAAAGCTCGAAACTAAAGTACTCAATCCAGTAAATAGATCAATCAAAGCCACAGGCTGCCTAAATGAAATAATATTGAGAAATAAAAATAACGGGAAAGAAACGAAAGGCGAAATTTACAAAACAATCATTAGACCAATAATGATATACGCAGCAGAAACAAGACCTGACACAGCAAGGACAAAAGGGATGTTAGAGACAGCACAGATAAAAAATTGATGGTAAGACACAGCGCAACAAAGCTAAAAGTACAGATATACGACGTAGATGCAAGGTGGAAAACATCAAGAACATCAAGAACTGGGTAAGAAATAGAAGAGTAGAATGGAACAATCATATAAGCCGAATAACAACAAATAGAGTAGTAAAGACGACAAGAGACGGTTTCCCAATAGAAAGACGATCAGTAGGAAAATCACAAAAACGATAGAACGACAACTTACTGGAGACACATTGAAAAACAGACAGAGTCATGTCTATATAAAAAGACAAAGAAAAAGAAGAATTTTTGTGAATTAAGGGTAGCTAAACAATATGATCATTGCAAACATCTGGTATAAACTACCCAAGCGACGACTATACACTTGGAAAGCACCATTTGATGATGACAATAACTCTGAGTCTTCAAGAAATCAAATAGACTATATACTTGTAAATGAGCGTTTCCGAAATGCCGTCAAAAAAGTCACTATATCCTGAGGCCAGATATTGGATCTGATCATCAGCTACTTGTAGCAGATATTAAACTAAGGTTAAAACGAATTAAGCGCAAAACCAAATACCAATGAACTTAACTTTGACGATATAAACATAAAACATAACATTAAAAAATAATTTAATAATAGAATAAAAAACATCGGAGTAAATTTAAGAACTATGGAGTAAATTTAAAAATCAAGTTAACGAAATCTCCACAAACAATGATTATAGAAAAAACTTAATCAAGAAAAATAAATGGATGACAGACGACATCTTGAAATTAATGGAAAAACGTCGACTGATAAAATCTAATTTAACAGAATATAAACACCTGCAGAGAAGATTAAAAAGGAGATCAAATTAGCCAAAGAAAAATGGATAAGAGAAAGGTGCGACGAAATGGAGGATGTACAGTATTGTGCGAATTAATGGAATCACTGTGAATTTTTTTTCATTTTTTCAATATTTACAAGAAAATGTTTTGGGGATGTTTTTCATATATGGGGTTGGATTTTTGGTGCCAATTTAAGGCATGATAAACAGCCAAAAATACAAATCCATGTTGGAAAAGTATTTGGACAAACAACTCTAAAAATGTCAACCCCAAGGAGGAGCGATTCTTCAACAGGACTCTGCTCCCTGTCACCAAATCAAAGGAAATGATGGAATTTTACAAAAGTAAGAAGATTAATGTTTTAGATTGGCCCGGTAATTCGCCCGACCTCAACCCCATTGAGTCAAATTTATGGGCCATTTGCAAAGCTAGACTGCGAAAAATCGACTGTACCACTAAAACAAAAATGATAGAAGCGGCCATTCAGGTTTGCTATCGAGATGAAAGGATATCTGACAACTGCCAGAAACTCATAGAATCTATGCCAAAACGTGTAAAAGCAGTAATTGCTGCCAAAAGGGGACATATTTCCTATTGAATGATGTAAGTTTACCTTTATAGTTTTGTCAAAATATAATTTTTTACTAAATAAACTGTTTTTCCATTAAAACAGCCTATGATTCCATTAATTTACACAATACTGTAATATCTAAACATGACTTATTTAATTTGCACAAGAAACTAAAAGAAATGAGTAATATATTTAAAAACTAGTTCCCTCTTTACAATTGACAGTAATAACAAAATTATTGTAAATGAGCACGAAATAAGGAAAGAATAGGCAGCTGTATATATCAGAGTTGTTTGAAGATGACAGGAATATATATTGCCGAATTCTACCAAAACCTGTACTGACGGCCCAGAAATTATGAAATGCGAAGTAGAACACGCTATAAATAATGCTAAAATTAGAAAAAACACGTGGTCCAGATGATACACCAACTGAGTTGCTGAAACTAATAGAGAATGATAACATAAAAGTAGTAGTAAGACTAATTCATAATTCATTCAATATATAACACCGGAGTGATTCCCGCAGATTGGCTCAAATCCATCTTTGACTCAATATCTAAAAAACACAATGCGAGAAAATGCTCGGAATATCGATTAATTAAACTAATGAGCCACACTCTTAAAATTTTCCTTAGAATACTTTACAACAGAATTAGACGTAAATGCGAAGAAGATCTTGAGATACCCAATTTGGTTTTAGAAATGCTATGGGAACCAGGGAGGCACTTTTGCGCTTAACATCCTATTACAAAAATGCCGTGACCAAAGAAAAATATGTATTTGCATGTTTTGTAGACCGCGAAAAGGCATTCGATAAAGTACAGCGTGTAAAATTATTGCAAATACTGAAAAATATCGGAATAGATGACAAGGATATTAGTGTCATTAAAAATTTGTACTGGAATCAAACTGCTATCGTAAAAATTGGAGATAACGACACAAATTAAATCTCCATACAACGGTGAATCAGACAAGGTTGCATTTTGTCGCCAACATTGTTTAATGTTTACTCAAACCAGTTATTTAAAAAGGCACTTGAGAGAAAACCATATGGAATCAAAATCAACGGGGAACTACTTAATGTGATTAGATACGCAGACGATACAGTAATTCTATCAGATAATATTGAAGGCCTTCAAATTCTGCTTGATCGTATTCACGAAGTAGAAGAGGAAATGGGCATTAAAATAAACTCAAACAAAATCAAATTTTTAGTGTTTAGTCGTGACCCACATCCTGATGCAAAGCTTCAATTAAACGGAGTCCAAGTTGAGAAAGTTCACAAAATGACATATTTGGGAACTGTGATAACGGGCCAACTAGATCCAGACATAGAAATAAAACGTAGAATAGGAATGACTAAAACTACTTTTATAAAAATGAGGTCATTTCTTTGCAATAAGCATCTCAGTTTGGAACTAAGGCAAAGAATGGTTAAGTGCTATGCTTGGTCCGTACTTTTATATAGTGCAAAAGTGTGGACACTAAAATTATCGGCCATGAACAAAATTGAATCATTGAAAATGTGGGTTTATGAACGAATGCTGAAGATACCTTGGACAGCAAGGAATACTAATGAAGAAGTACTAAGGACCGTACAAAGATAGAGAACTGCTAAAGACTGTTAAACATCAAAAAAAGTCTTATCTGGAACATACAGTAAGGGAAAGTTGATATAAAATATTACAACTGATCCTTAAAGACAAAATAGAGGGCCGTAGAGGTCTAGGAAGAAAACAAGTTTCTTGTGTAAAAAACATTCGTGAATGGATTCAGATACCAAATGCAGGACAATTATTCCATATTGCAAAAGATCGAGAAGCCTTCGCAATGGTGATCGCCAACGTCGGATAATCCTGATATGGCACGCGAAGAAGAAGAAGAAGGGTAGCTATGCACATATTTTTATAGGTAAAAAATGCAAGACGTATTTGTCTATGTATGAAATTTGATAAAAAAAATGTTTCATTCGGTAAACAGATCGGTCAAGGTTGATATAAATTCGGATCTTAGACTATAAACAAAAAATAGTACAGTATTGGATTAAATACAAAAGAGTACGAATATGGAGAGATGAGGTGGATGAAGCCATGGAAAGACGAGACCTTAGAGATGGAGAATGGCAGAACAGAAAGGACTGGAGACGTTGCCTGAAAGAAGGAAGGCGGCGACAGCTGTAAAAATCCTTATATAGATAGATAGAGTACGAATAACTGTATTTCTGAGTAATCTGCATGAATAATGAAATATGTTTTATTTTTTTTAAGATTTCCAGGAGAAACCAGGTTAAGGTTGGATCCTTTTAATTATAACAACTGGAGAACGAATCTCATTTTTCCAATATATCAGCAGCCGGGACCTCGACTTTATCGTTTGATTACAGGAGCAGCTCCAAGTAGGTATATGTAGGCACATTACTTTTATATAGTTATTTATACTAATAGTGTTTTTTATTAAAAGAACATTTCTAACAATTATTAAATCACAACAGTTTTGTGAGGCCGCTCCCGTTGGAAAATGTTTCTGATTCGGTTTCTTCGCGGATTGCGGTTCAAAAATGTCCCCTTTAAACAAATCTGAAGGGTGCCGGACGAAATTTTTGGACAGAAATTAGTTTAAACAATTTTTTTTTAAACAAATTCCAAAAATATTTTTTTTAATCTGGAAAGGTTTTTTTAGGTTTTTTGGGTCATTCTAAATAAAAAAGGTCTCTTGTCATTTTTCTCTAAAGTTGATAGTTTTCGAGTTATAAGCGATTTAAAGTCTGAAAAACGCGAAAATGCGCATTTTTGAGGCTTGAAAACACATATGTAAATTATTATTTTTGAGGTTGTCAAGTGTCTAAATTGAAGTTTAAACATTCAACTTCAAGATTTTGAAGAGTAATCGGGGCTTATTTTAATTTAGACCGTTATTTTTTAATTGTTAAATAGCGCGTACACTCGATTTTTCAGCCGCCGCGGCGCGGCGCGCTAGAGTGCGCTTCTATCGTACTTATGCATAGTTTACATATACACTTAAGCAAAAAAAACCGAACAAATCCTTGAAGTTTATTAACATAGTTTTTTCCATAATTTATTTATGTAGGTATTAATTATTGTCATGTGGCTAATTAAATACATCAATCATCGCAATGTAATAACCGTATATAGTTTTGTTTTCTTCCAAATTTAAACAATATAATTATTATTTATTGAGTATATATTTATTTATTATCAATTGTAAATTGTAAATAATATTTTTAAATCATTATTTAAATAATACTATGCAGTAATATTAATATTACTTAACTTAATTTAAATTACGCGTGTTTAAAAGCAATATACTATCGCAAAAATGCAAGTTTTTACTTGTTTAACAATCGCGCGCCCATACTTGATTTGTTATTACTTAAACGATCATTAGGAAGACTATTGTTTAATGCCCATTAAAAGGGTATTATGCCCGAAAAGACAGTGTGACGAAAAATTTAATTAATCTAGCCAATATACCTTGTACCTCTGACGCACTTTACCAACACTTGTTAAGAGCTTTCGCTAAAACATATATTTGGCGAAATGCCATATATTCCCGCTATCAAACTCTCGATTTTACACAATATGGATATTATATGTTCTGATAGTGGTGGGTTGGGAAACCGTGCAAATGCAAAAAGACTTGCAAAACTAATGCTTGCAACTGCAAGAAAAATCATGTCAACTGTGTACCATTATGTGGATGTGATTTAGATTTTTGTGAAAACAAAGATACTTTTACTGAGTGATATTAGTGTGTTATTTAACAATCTTTTGTACAATTATTTTATGTAACTATTATTAGACTTTAGACGAAATTTATATTATAACTCAATTGATATAAATAAATATATACTCAATAAATAATAATTATTTGTAAGTATATGTAAACTATGCATAAGTACGATAGAGGCGCACGGTAGCGCGCGGCGCCGCGGCGCGGCGGCTGAAAAATCGAGTGTACACGCATATTAAACAATTAAAAAACAACGGTCTAAATTAAAATAAGCCCCGATTACTCTTCACAATCTTGAAGTTGAATGTTTAAACTTTAATTTAGACACTTGGTAACCTCAAAAATAATAATTTACATATGTGTTTTCAAGCCTCAAAAATGCGTATTTTCGCGTTTTTCAGACTTTAAATCGCTTATAACTCGAAAACTATCAACTTTAGAGAAAAATGACAAGAGACCTTTTTTTGTTTAAAATGGCCCAAAAAACCTAAAAAAAACGTTTCCAGATTAAAAAAAAAAAATTATTTTTGGACTTTGTTTAAAAAAATTGTTTAAATTTCTGCCCAAAAAATTTCGCCCGGCACCCTTTAGATTTGTTTAAAGGGGACATTTTTGAACCGGAATCCGCGAAAGAAACCGAATCAGAAACATTTTCCCAACGGGAGCGGCCTCACAGCCTGGACTAATTATCCGCGGAGTTATTTAAATACAAAAATACTGACAAAACAATATATGAATTAGTGAAACATAATATAGATGCAAGAAAAAATGTCAAAAGAATGGTCAGAACCAGAAGCTCAATATTTAAAAAGTGGACTCCATGAAGTGCGGAAATTAGAGACCATTTCCTTTATACAGTATATAAAATACTAAAGATTACCATAAATATAAAAATAAAGAATAGATTGGTGGATGGAATATGAATGTGAATTTGTTAAAGAAGCACTGAAATCAATGATTATAATATTATTTGTCCCGAAATATAATGTCTAAATAGGCTATGTTTTACTTTTAGGTTATTACAGAGAAGGTTTTCTGGGACTGCAGTATTATCTAACACTCAGTATTTTATTGGCGAAGAGTAATGTAACTTATGCTACGAACGATTATCTGGATCTTATAACCTGGCTTATGAAGAATAAATTTCCTTTAGTCAACATGCGAAGGTTTCCGAATGCACCATGGTACGAAGATATTCTACTGACAGCTTTGAAATCACTGATCGGTATTATAATAATGTTAAGTTTTGTCTACACGTGTATTAATACTGTCAAGTCGATAACCACAGAAAAGGAAAAGCAACTTAAAGTAGGTGTTTTTTGATGAATTATTTTAATGATTTATTCAGTGTTGCCATTTTTTAAAATCATATCCAAATCATACCTACAATATACCCACATGTCTCGAAATTATAATTTTTTTTTTTTATATTTAAATTAAAGTGTCTCGGCAACTATTGGCCATTGACACTGGTACAAAATTGATTACAATATGTTTATGTTTACATACATATACAATCTGTTTATATACAAGTTATGATACAACATCTAATATAATTACACTAAGTAGTAAAGGTGACAGTCTTTTAAAAAACGAACTATGGCACTGTACAGTTGTGAACCTAGTAGATCACTTAAATTATTTTTGAAAGTTGTAGTAGTCTCTTTGAGGTTTGTAGTGTACACATTCTAGTAATATGTGTTGGACTGTTAAGGACTCATTACAATGTTCACATCGACGATGGTTTTTCGAAGACATCAGATATCCATGAGTAAGACGAGTGTGACCTATTCTGAGCCTTCTAATAATGATATTGTCTTTTCTGCTCATTTGAGGCATGGTGATGGAGGTAACAGTTGGTTGAATTGTGCGTAGTTTTGTATTTTGCATGTTCCATGTGTTGCCAAGTGCTTAGTACGTTGTTATTGATACTGGCCTTTAGGTCTTGGTAAAGTTGTATGTTTTCCATATTTTCTAAGGAGCGGGCCAGTTTTGCTGCATGATCAGCGTTCTCATTTCCATTGATACCAACATGGGATGGTATCCAGATGATAGTTACTGAAACACCATTTCTTGACTGTTGATGGCAGATACTGTGGATGCGCTGTACAATGGGATGTATGGAGTATACATTTCTGATTGAGTCAATAGGCGGAGAGAGAGTCGGTGCATATTGCTAATGATTTATCATTAGCAATGGCGAGTCTAATGCCTTAAGTATATCCATACAGTTCGGCTGTGTGTATACTGCATCTGGGAGAAAGCCGATGTGACGCTATTGTTGTGTTTGGGGTACTGACGGCACAACAGACGGCCTGTTCATCTTTGGAGGCATCTGTGTAGAGAATTTTGTCATAACACTGTGTCTGTATAAGTTCCTCAAATTCTTGTACCAAGAGAGTTCTGGGCGTTTCTTCTTTTTTGTATCGGTTCAAGCTGGTAAGGACAGTAGGTAGCTTTTTGGTCCACGGGGGAATTCTGGACGTAGTAAACGGAGTTGTGAGTTTTAGGTCTATGTCTTTTAGTAAAGTTTTTGAAATTTGTGGGAGAGAATGTGCTCGAGGGTGACTATTATCTGGGACAGGGTGGGGAGTATTAATTAGTTTAATTACTGGGTTTTTTGGATTAGCAGAAAATCTAGAGAAGTAAGACAGAAGTAGACGTTGCCGTCTTATAAAAAGTGGAGGTTCTGAAGATTCGATATAAAGACTTTCAGAAGGACTTGATTTAAAAGCGCCTAGGCTAATGCGTAAAGAAGTGTTTTGAAATTGTATTCAGACATTTAAGGTGAGTATTGGAAGCAGATATGTAGAGAATGCTTCCATAATCCAATCTTAAGCGGATCAATGTTCTGTAAATTCTAAGAGGACTTTCTCTTCTGCCCCCCATTGATGGTGAGATAGAGTTTTTAAAATATTGATTCTATTTAGGCAGTTTGTTTTTGTATTCTGTATCTGATCTCTCCATGTAAGTCTTTTGTCGAATATTACTCCTAATAATTTGTGTTTATCAACCACTTGAAGAGGAGATCCATTTAGGTGAAGTAGAGGAGGGTCAGTGTGATGTCTTCTAGAGAAGTTTATGACTTTATATTTTTTAGATGAAAATTTGACTCCAATTTGAATGGACCAGTTATGAAGATTGTTAAGAGTGTTTTGTGGCAGGTTGTGCTTTACCTTGGCAATAAAGAACAATATCATCTGCGTATATTGAGTAGTTTATTGGAGGAAGAACAAGAGAGTTTATATCGTTTATGCTAAGAAGGAATAGTGTGGGGTTGAGAACTGAGCCTTGGGGGACTCCATTTTGTGATATATCTGATGTAGATGTTTTCCCGTTTACGACTACTTTGAATGATCTCTCTTATAGAAAATTGTATATAAAGGTGATAATATTACCCGTTAAATTAAGTTGCTCAAGTTTTCTAATAATAGCAGCTCTGTTTATTGTGTCAAAGGCACTTTCTAAGTCTAAGACAACTGTGATGATGTCATTTTTGTTTGACATAGCTTGGGTTATTTCTGTTTGTAGAAGTACCAGGTTATCCATCGTACTTCGATTGGGTCTGAATCCTGACTGTGCTGCATCTATCAGATTATTTTCTTCAAGAAACCAAAGCAAACGTTTATTTATCATCTTTTCTAGTACTTTGCACATTGTACATGTTAGTGAGATTGGCCTGTAGGCACTGGCAATGTTAGAAGATGAGTCATTTTTCCTGATCGGTATGATAAGCGACTGTCGCCAAAGACTCGGAAAGCTTTGGCTGAACCATATCTTATTGTAGAGCGCAAGTAGCTTTAAGAGGGTTCCTGCCTGTATATGTTTGAGAAAGATAGACTGGATGTCATCAGGACCTGCAGATGAGTTTTTCATTGATCAAATTGCCAAATTTAACTCTACTTCTGTGAAGGCGAGGTTTATTAGATTGGTTTGGATAGGGTTAGGTGGTGATTGATTTGTGGGGTGCGAAATGGAGAGTTCAGACTTGGTTTTGTTTTGAAAGTATTTGGCTAGCGTTTTCGGTTATGTGATTATCATTTGTAATGATATTATCTGCATCTGTTATTTCCTTCAGAATTCGTTTGGATTTTGCACGTAGTTTCTTAAAATGAATAAGATCTTCGATACTGCGAGTTTTGCGATATCTATTAAGAGCCTTCTTGTATTCTTTTATTGCGAGTTTACAGGAGTCATTCCACCATGGGACGGCCTTTCTTGAAGAGTTTATGGTGCATTTATCTATACATTGGTCGGCCGCAGTTAGAATGCAATTTGTAAATTGCTCTACCGCATCGTCGATGTTTTCCTTGAAAATTATTTGGCTTGAAAGGTCTTCAAGAGTATCACTGAATAATCTCCAATTTGCATGGGCAATTTTCCATTTATTTATGACTTCCGCATTTTCGGGGGTATGACTTGTGATTAAGATAAGAGGTAATGATTGCTATCATATAAGCTATCTAGTGTTTGCCACTGAAGCAGAGGAGCGGTTCCAGGATCGCAAAAACTTAGGTCTATGCAAGAGGAGGTTCCAGACTGGATGTGGAAATGTGTGGAGCTCCCTGTATTCAAGAGGTTGATGTTAGAGTTACTTATGACATCTTCGATATGTTTACCTCTCCCAAAGGTGCGCTGGGAGCCCCATGTTTGGGAAAATACTTGGAAACTTTACAGATTGGCAAATAAAAGCTTTATTTCCCAAATCGATTTTCGGTCATATATTATTGTTTGTCTAATGAAATCGGAAGATAGACAACAAAAAGAATCAAAACAGAATAAAAGTGAAGAAGATGAAAAGTCAACTGTACCGTTGACAATAAACGGTGGGCAGACCGTTGACAAATAGTTTACCAGATGAAATCCGAAAAGATAAGATAGGTCATTAAGTAATAAAGCATGCAAAAAATGCAAGAAGAAGATGCAGACACGTGTTCTAATCATACTGTTTTTGTTTGTCAAAAATGCCAGGTCCATTTAGACTCTAAATGTTTTGAAATTCAGAAAAAATAAATTTGTATTTTTCAATTTTTTTATCTCAGTTTTGCCAAAGGTTCGAAAACGAACCATTTTTTTTTGTTGTGACACCTGTCTGTTGCCGAGAGGGGGCATTTGGTCCTGTGGGACCCATCGCCGGCTCTTTGGACTTCTTCCTGTCCCCGGAATTTGATCGGGTGTTGACCATCTTTGTTTGTCGCTATCAAAAGCGTTAATAATCGCTACTGGTATAAAGTAACAGTTACCGTGACAAGTATCGGTTATAGGTAACAGTTCCAAGGAACGGCTACGAAATAACGGATCCAAGATAGAAAACAGAACAGGTACAATAATCTAAGTATTCCTTGACTTACGGAAGGAATAGCTTAGTAAATCAAAATAAATCAAACGGTATAAAAATATAATACAAGATAAATGCTCCTAAGTGTTTCTTGACTTACGGAAGAAACAACTTAGGACAGAAATATAAAAGAAAGTGAAAAATATGCAAATGTGAAAATAAAAATATGGAAATATTTCTAAGTGTTTCTTGACTTACGGAAAGAAACGGCATAGAAAATAAAACATTCAAAGTATAAAACAAGAAATTCAAAAGGGAAATAGATTATAGAAATATGTCTAAGTGTTTCTTGACTTACGGAAGAAACAACTTAGAGCAGAAAATAAACAAGAGAATATGGTAAAATAGATGTACAAATATTTATAAGTGTTTCTTAACTTACGGAAGAACAACTTATAATAGAAACAAGAAAATCAAATACAGAAAAGATGTGAAAATATTGCTAAGTGTTTCTTGACTTACGGAAGAAACAACTTAACGAAAAATAGAAAATAAAATAGTCAATAATATGAAATAATATCTTAGATAAAAGTATCAGAAATAATAATGCAAATATGAAAATACTTCTAAGTGTTCTTTTGACTCACCGGAAAAGAACGACTTAGACACACACCAATTAACAAGTCGAATAAAATAGCAAAGCAATATTTCTAAGAGTTCTTTGACTTACCGGAAAGAACAGCTTAGATACAAATACAAGAAAATAATCAATCAAAATAATCAAATAAAATATCAAACAATAAGTACATGAACAATGTGTAATATTCTAACCTGAAAAGGTCTGAATATACAATAATGCTAAAATAAAAATGGTATATAGGAAATCAGAAATAAAACAATAACTTAGTTGGAACAATAATAGCACCGACTAGGTCTACAGTAGAAGAGGCAAGCTCGACTGACCGATGAGAGAAATTCCATCTGCTTTTATATAAAAACAAGTCCTTTGTTTTACGTAGCAAAAGTGGAATTTCCCTACATCGAGTCAATTAGAAATTCGGATTTGCCCAAACTTGGAATTTCCAAGTATTTCTCCGAATTTCTAAATGCGTCCGGCACGGCGGTCAGCTTCTGCCTGACACGCCTCTGGAGACATGTCAGTATCAAAGTGTAAAACAATTTTTTTACGAATGGATAAGCTTTTATTATTGCAATATTTTTTTGCTTGGCGGTTAATGAATTAAGATAAACTACAACCGGAGATTATTTGCCTATTCATTAAATATTTGCTGCTCTCGGTTTCATTAACAAAAAAACTTTTGTAGGAATCCATGAAGATAATGGGTCTTCCAAATTGGTTGCACTGGACAGCGTGGTTTGTGAAATGCTTTATGTTTCTATTAATATCATCCATATTGATGGTAATATTTTTAAAAGTAAGATGGTATACCAATACGGATTTTACTGTATTTACCAAAGCCAATCCGTTTGTTCTACTTTTATTTCTAATGTTTTATAACTGCGCCACTATTACGTTTTGCTTCGCAGTTAGCGTCCTCTTTAACAAAGGTAAGTGAAAAAATGAAACGAAATAATTTAAAAAAAATTCTTCATTAATTTCAACTTTTAGAATGGCCTTTATTTTAATTAACCATATATTTTTCGTTGTTTAACAAGAGGCAGGCCTTAAATGGCCAAGGGGTGCCAATAATCTCCCGGTTTCAACTTGATAAGATAACCAAACTACAAAATCTAATTCAGGAAATGAACAGAATTAACATCGATATTCTCGGCATAAGCGAATTGCGATGGGAAGGCACAGGTATGATCAATACTACTGGTAAAACCTTTTACTACTCATGCAGTGATAGCACAGACCCTCACCACAGACATGGGGTGAGAGTTCTGATAAGCGAAAATTTGCGCGTCTCCGTGAAGAACTTTGTTCCGATCTCCGAAAGAGGGTAGGAGAGGTCTGGGACGTAAAAAAAATGTCATGGGCTGCGCAATATTCGACAATGAACAGGAATCCACAGCTATGAAATGCTTCGCAATGCTGCTAAAAATAGAATAGTTTAATACTGACTATTTAACATCTCACCGGACAAGACGATGTAGGTACGGTGGACGCCTGCGCAGAAATGCACGGCACCTTAAGAAGAACAAGAACAAGAGGCGAATTAGGTAACGTAGTTGGCAAGTATGGATTAGGAACCAGAAATAAACGAGCCGATCAAATAATAAAGTTTCGTCAGTAAAAAACATAATAAACTAATACTTGGTAAGATACCATCAACAAGATTGTACACTTGGAAGTCACTACAGAACAAACTGGGTACATCATTAAAAATCAGATAGATTTTATAACAATAAACAAACGATTTAATAATGCATCGAAAATATGCCCTTCTTTTTCTTACGGTGCATATCCGTTCTGGATGTTGGATATTGAAGCATAACATGGCCAAGATATTCTACGTAGGACCTCCATCGTAGTCATACGATCCATCCATGAAATTACCAATTACCAATCTTAGGACAAAAAGGTGCCCTTCCACTTATTAGCTGATCTGCCTGGAGCTGTTGACCAGTAAGTGGGGGGATTGCTTATACCGGCAATCACTCGGTCAATGTTTCACCATATCTGGCTACCCTTACTTATTCTAGCCAGCAGACTAATGCAGTTGCCCAAGCACGTGATGTTATAAGTGAGAGTTAGGTGTCTTATGAGGACCAGATATCAAACACCATCTCCCGTCTATGACGCTCGATGTGGTCGTTTCGATAAAAGGTTTTTCCTCTATAACACAACCCATACACCCCAAAACGTACCCTGGAGCTGATAATTCTGATTATTTACGAGTTCTACTAAAAATCTTAATACTGATAATCGTCATACAACATAAGCACTCTTAAACTGTATGGAGCAAAGATATTAAAATATCTAATGTAAGGTAACAGAAGCCTTAGAAGAAACAAAAGATGGGGAATACATACATAATGAAACATGTCATTGTGTACCACCACTATATAATGTACTACCACAAGTTTCAGTTGGAAGTAAACGTAAAACCTGGCAATTATTGGCAATGATATTTATAGGTTAAAAGTCATTTATCACAAGTATAATACCGACATCTACACGAAAACTAAAAATATTTATTTATAGGCAACATAACTTTTCCTGAACGCTCCAGTTTTTAAATTTTAGGCACAAAGAACAATAAAACACATTGTATAATGTCTACTACTCCGTATATCAAAAGAAACTGCGGTCGGCGGAGGCAAAATTCATTATGGATTATCCGTTGCTGCTCTAGTGGTAATGTGGCGGCAAATTTGATTTAGTTAATAACATTGTTTTATTGTGTACTATGTGATAATGATTACCACTTTCTCCTAAGCAACCACATTGAACTTTAAAAAATTCAAACCACTAAAGGTTTGTAAACTACATAATGACTAATAGAGTTTCAATCAGCTCTATTTTCCAGAAACAAATATCTGCAAGTCACTTTATAGAAGACGTTTTACGATTGTTAAAAATGAATGATCCACCAAACTTTCTGTTTGGGCATTCGTCAAACTCATATTCTGCCTATATGGGGACACATATAATAGTAGGACATCGAAAATAAACTCAGAGGAAAATATGTACTACTTAGATGTATTAACCACGCCTATGACCAAACAAGAAGTTAATCAGTATTAATAAACCTCTTACAATATGTGTGTGCCTTTAAGAACTATTTTATTTTAAAATGAATTTAATATATATTATACAGGGTGTTTTAAAAAGGTATGTCATAAATTGAATCATGCATTTCAGGGACAAAAATAATCCAACTTACCTTTGTACAAAACTATACACAAAAAAAGTTACAGCCCTTTAAAGTTACAAAATAAAAATTGAATTTTTTTGCATTATCTCCTAAACTACTTGACTTTTGTAATAAAAATCGACACGTTACCTTCTTGTTCTGAAAGGATTTTTTATAAAGAAAAAACAACAAAATCTAAGCGCACAGAAAAATTTAAAGGGGGTTTGCAGTCCTAAATTCCCCCAAACTTTTAAGTACATTCAAATCAAATGACTTTTGTGGGATCATTAAGGTTAAATTCCGAAAGTGGCTGCAGACTGCAGACCGCAAATAGCAGACTGCAGCGACAGTGTCGTTTGCGGTCAGACCAATTCCGAGCAGAACTGCACTGCATCTACAAAACAGCGACAACAGCATTACACGATGGGAATTTATAATAGTATGTAATATATGTAATAGTATATAATTATATAATATTAAAAGTCGTATAAGTTGGATGTCAGACGCAATGAACAACGATGAATTAATGTTATATATCTTTTGATGGAAGAAGAAGATGACGACGATCTTTTCCTTTTGCATTATAAAAGAAAAAGGAAGCCAACGAGGTCTTTATTTAAAAATAAACAATTTGAAGGAAGTTATTCAATACTCATTAAAAATCATCTAATGGCTAACGAAGATATATTCAGAAACAGCAAAAATACGTGTTGTCACTCTGCGGTCGGCGACACTACTGGTTCTGGTGCAGTCCTGCGGTTTGCGGTGGCGACGTTGTGCTTGCGGTGGCGACAGTGCCGCTCTACTCGACATACAGCTCATAAGAAACCATATGAACCAGTAGGTCTGTCGCTGCGGTCGGCGGTCTGCGGTTTGCAGTTTTCAGTTTGCGGTCGTGTTCGGAATCGTACCTTTAGTTTGACACATTATGCCGTAACTCAATAAAAAACAGTTTTTATTGAGTTACGGCCCTTTTCATTAACCCTTTAGCGGTTATTGGTTGATTTTTTATCCACTTATTTTTTCTTCGTGTAGGATTAAGTTCGTAGTCGAAAATAATCCAGATATCGTCGAGGCTCTTGCCGGCAACGATTTCAGGTAAAATATCAACCAGTAGTTAAATCTGGCGTGCTTTATAGTGTATACTCCAACCTCGCCTGCTTCAAGTGGTCGAAAATCTGCCTCTAAACGTCTGCAGTTATCTATTATTTGTTGTTTTGGTGGATTGTGATTGTTGCTCCAGTTATTATCAAAAATAAATTGTGTATAAGTAAAAATAAGGCAAGTATACCTAAACAAATATATAATTAATATGTTCCGAATATTTTATTACTTTTTTTATATAATTTGTTCTAGAAATGGGTGAAATAATAAAAATAACCTCAATTTATTTTAAAACAGTGTTTTATATATTTGATTTTTTTTTTCAAATTTCACATGATTTTTGTATAATTATTAATGTCACACAGTTCATAAAGGCTGTCTGATGTAATTTTTTAATTTCTTTTATCTAGTACTCATGGCGCTGAGGAAATTTAGGTAAATTTGTTCAGATGAATTGATGAATTTTGGTATGATTTTGAAACAATGATGCGAGTTTAATATTTTTTCTATTACCGTGTGCAAAGTACACTTAGTACGTAACTAGTACACTAGTAACACTAGTACGTAAATTAAAACATGTACAAAATTGTACTTAGAATAAAAAAAACTACTACTGTAAATATTATCCACTAAAATTAGCAATACAGAAGTTACTTTACGTACCAGTGAGTGTGTAAAGTAAGACTAGGGTATAAAGTAACTTATGTACTTTTATTCTAAGTGAGCAACATGTAATGCTATAGAAAAATGATAATAACACATATTGAACTTTTACATTACAGATGTCTAAAATAAATTTGGACGAAGTTTCAAAACTTGATTCCAATGAGATTTTCGATTGGCTTGAAGGATTTGATGATGAGCAAGCAGAAAATTCGGATGTGGGTGGCGACGGGAAAGAACAAGTAGAATTTCATAGAAGAACATTGTCTACCCGTAACTCTTTAGGTAATATAGTCAACAATAAAAGAGATTTTTTATTATACAATTTTTTTATAGGTCAAGTAGATGATCACACTTCGTTGCCATCAACAAGTTCAGAAAATCAGAACGACTGTAATAATTTTAATACCACAGATATATTACGGTCCAAACGAGTACGAAACATAGCAAGTTACTCCGAAAAAGAATCATTTAATGATTTTGATGATTCTGATGATTCCATTCAAGATGCAGATTATGCTCTTCTTCAAGAAACTGTTCTGTTGAATGCAGAACTAGAAGAAGCAGAAAGCGACTCAGACCAAGAATTGGATGAACCCCTTGTTGCGGATAGGAACGCTGAAGAAAAATATATTTTTTCTAAGAAAGCAAGTCATCCCACAATTTTTTCGAATTATATTTTCACTGAAAAACCTGGAAGCAAAACAAATATTTTTGAATATTCGCCGTCTCAGATTTTCGAAAAAATGATTGGTTTGGATACCTTGGAGTTGATTGTGGAGCAGTCCAATTTATATTCAAACCAGTCTGGAAAGACTTTAGACCTAACTCTGGAAGAACTAAAAGCTTTTTTGGGAATACTTTTAATAATGGGCATTCATAAATTACCGAGCTTACGCATGTATTGGTCGTCTGATCAAAACTTTAAAGTTGATAGAATCGCTAATCTTATATCCCAAAAGCGTTTTGTACAAATTTTAAAATTTTTGCATATAAACAATAGCGAAACGATGCCTAAAAGAGGGAAGCTTAATTTTGATAAACCTTACAAAATTAGGCCTCTAAATGATAACGTAAACAATAATTTTAAATGGTTATTTACGCCTTACCGACAAAGCATGGTTGCTTTCAAGGACAGAACAACACTAAAACAATATATGCCGAAAAAACCAATCAAACGGGGAATAAAAGTATGGGCCCTTGTTTATTCCAAGACTGGATATTTGCTTTCATTTCAGATTTATCAAGGAAAACAAGGTATAATGCCAGAGCCTCACCTAGGAGAGAGGGTTGTTTTACAACTAAGTGAGCCTTACTGGTATAAAGGATACTGTGTTTACTTTGACAATTATTTTTCTTCATTTGATTTATTCTTCATTTGATGAAGGTAGGGGATTCAGATTTTGCACAATCAGGGGAACTATCGGTAGTAAAGTGGAAAGATAGAGGAAAAAAATCAGTAAACGTAATAAGTTCTATTCATAATTCAGGAGTCATAACAAACGTGAAAAGTACTAACAAAATAGAACATCGAGAAGAAGTCAGTAGTCCAGAGGCTATTGCTGAATATAATTTATATATGGGAGGTGTCGATAAATTTGACCAATATCACTCTCATATTCAATTTGTTGGAAATCACAAAAATGGTGGGTAAAACTATTTTATTATTTAGTTGATTGTTGATTGTGAATTCCTATATTTTATATAAAGAGTCCGTTCCTGCGATAGAAAAACCTCTCACACTTAAAAGTCCAAGAAGAAGGGGCCGCGACAACAATTAAAAAAATTTTAAAAATTGGAGGAAGAGGTGTCTCCATAAAAACTAATATTCGAAAAACAAATTTGGGAGATCACTTGCCAGTAAAAGGAACATGTCGACGTTGCGACTATTGTAGCACCGCAAAGAAAGCGAAAAGAAGTCAAATTGTTTGTCGTAGATGTAAAGTGGCTCTCTGTTTAGAACGCTTTTGTTCATTACTTTTTTTAAATTTTTTTTATTTTGAAAAACACAAGTGGTCGATAATTTGACTAGGATTTAAGCATAGAGTATATTGTCCTTAACGTTCGCTGGTCGAAAAATCGACCACCCCCCCCCCTATCTCAAAGTTCTAACTGATTTTTTTTTTAAACTTGGCAATACGCTTATTTTTTGTATATAAAACTAGTACATATCGTTATTTTTTGAAAACACCGAAAAAAAAAATAGTTTTGCGCGCTAAAGGCTTTAGGTTTTGCTAAAGCTAAAAAAATTACGTGCAACTTAATAATTGACTTAAATGAATTAACAAGTACAAAAAATGTCTATAACCTCTATAAATATGATATTACAATAAATGTTCAAAATGACCCCCATTTTCTTCAATACACATTCGGTATCGTTTTAATAAGGAAAACCAAATCTGCTGAAAAATCATATTTTCTGACGAAATTGATTTGCAGCTTCAATTATTGTAACCCTCAATTGTTGTTCGTCCTCAGTGTACAGAATACACTTTCTCTTTCATAAACTCCAAAACAGCAAAAGTCCATAGGGTTAATACCTGGACTTCTGGGTGGTCAAACAATAGGTGCGCCATGACCCCTTTCAATCCACCGACTAGGATACCGCTTGGAAAGGTATTCCCGGACTTCATTACTGTAATGCGGTGGAGCGATATCTTATAGAAACCACATATTTTGCCTTATTGCAATAATCACTTCTTCCAAATACTCTTATAAATCGTTTGCCAAGAACTGCAAATAATTATCACCATTTAAATTGTTGGGAAGAAATACTGGACCTATTAGATTGTTATCCACAATTCCTGCCCAAACATTAACTTTAAAAGTTCTTTGGTGATTAGTCGTTTTTTGGCGTGAGGATTTTAGTCGGCCCAAATGTGCTCGTTATGATGGTTTGTTATTCCATTTCTACTGAAGGTAGCCTCGTCGGTAAACAAAATATTTCTAATAAAATTAACATTTTGAGTGTTTTCCAATTATAATCAATTGCAAAATCCAATCCTTTTAGGATAATCTTCAACCAATAACTCTTAAACCGTTGTTAAGTGATAGGGTTTAAGCAGCTGATCCTTCAAACGCCGCCAAACCTTTACGTGAGGAACATTTAGTTGAGCAACTATTACCCATGCTCTTGTTCCAGGGACTTCTTCAATGATTTCTAAAATGTGTTCATCAGTTGCATCCATTATTGGACAACCACTATTGCCAGCAACTTGCGGTTGGAATGTACCCGTTTCCCGTAAACGACGATCAATGGTCAGAAATAATCGTCTATTGGATGTATTTCGATTAGGTTATTTTACTGAATAAAGCCTTGCTGCGGCTGCTGCATTATTTCCTTGACATTCGCCTACGATATTTCCTGTTTACAACGTTTTTCGACGTCTTCCAATTTCCAATCTTCATATCATTCTATCGTTCCATAGATCGACCTCCAGTTCTCTTTCCCTGATTTATCAACTCCTTCTCTAACTTCTTCTAGGCATTCCTGGTCTCGTCCTACCTATTGGTTGCCATTCAAGAATTTGTCTTAGTATTCTATTCTTGAGTATTCTCCTTACATGTCTGTATCATCTGAGTTGTATCGTTTTGATATCATCATCAATATTATCTGTAACCGCCATGATTTCTCAGTCTCTCGTTTGTTATTCATACAATCTGATCCAACTTACCCAAAGTTAAATGCATATCTGCCATTTTCTGAAGTGTGTAGGCCATTGTAATATCAAAATCTTTAGTATTAATCTTATTCAGACACATTATTGACTATTATTGATGGAACTGTTTGTAATTATTGTATCCGTAGAAACTAATTGTAATTTTATGGCCAACCAGGAAAAAATTAGCTTTTCGAAAAAGTAATAAAAGGCAAAAAAGTTTTAAAAATAATGTGTTATAATGATGCTATAAAATTCATTTGATTTGAACATACTCAAAAGTTTGGGAGGATTCAGGGCTGTACACCTCCCTTAAAATTTTTCTGTGCGCTTAGATTTTGTTGCTTCTTTTGTATCAAAAATGCTTTTTTCATACAAAGTTGCAATATATTGCAATAGGTAATTAAGATAATGCAAAAAAACAATTTTTATTTTGTGTCTTCAAAGGGCTGTAACTTTTTTTGTGTACACTTTTGTACTAAGGTAAGTTGGATTCAATCAATTTATTTTTGTCCCCGGAATGCGTGATTTAATTTATGACATACCTTTTTGAAACACACTGTATAATTTAATATTTAAAGTATATTTAATATTTGGTATATATTTTAGCTAATACTGCAGCTACTATAGCAGGTCTGGTCTGGTTTTTGTCATACTCACCGTATTTATTTATGGCAAATGTATATGATACCTTAACGTTAACTTCGAAATTGGTAGCAAGCATTGGATCAAATACTGCTATGGCATTTGGTTTTCAAGTAATTCTTATGTATGAGGGAACTGGCGAAGGTGAGAAACTTTGATTACTAGAAAATATTCTTTTTTATGTAAATTTACGACTGGCATTGATTTACATTTTCACGTAGATTTTTTATTTTGTTTTACCGTATTTTAAAATAATATTCTAATATAAAGGGTGAATTACTTTCGAGTAATACGTCACCTTCATTTTTTTAAATGGAACAACCCCATTTTGCCTCAATTTTCGGATTACTGTAGCTGAGCTGATTCTACAAATGTATCACATGTTGATTCAAATTGGTACAGTGTGGACAAAAATACAATAGTTTTGTGTGTGTTCATAAAGTAACGCGTTAGTTAAATTAACAATATTATCAAAAATACTTATTGTCTAGCACACAGAATATGATGAAATACATCATCATCATCATCATCATCATCATCATCAATGGTGCTACAGCTCTATGAAAGAACCTCGACCTTCCCAAGTCTATTACGCCAGGCAGTCCTATCTATCCACTGCCAACCGTTGGTAGTTTGCTGCGCCTATCTTTCTACCATCCGCATCTACACCATCCTTCCATCTGAGTTTTGGCCTACCCATTTTTCTACTTCCCACGGGTTGTGACATAAGGATTCTTCTAGGAGGGTTGTTCTGATGTGATCTTGCTAGATGTCCTGCCCATCTTAGTCTTCCTATTCTTATAAGAGATACTACGTCTTTACCACCAAATATTGTTTATATCTGTGGTATCCCTCGTGGTTGTATCTCCTCCTCCAAAAACCATTTTCACAGATGCCACCAAATATTCCTCTCAGGATCCTTTGTTCAAATATAAGCAGAAGGTCTTCGTCTGCCTTGGAGATGGTCCATGTCTCCGATCCATATGTCAACACTGGCTGTATAAGGGTTTTGTATATGGTTATTTTTGTTTCTTGGCTTAAGTTTCTACTTCTCATATGTCTACTCAGTCCAAAATAGCATCTGTTTGCCATTATTATCCTTCGCTTGATTTCTTCCGTTATGGCGTTCTCTTTGGTGATCAGGGAGCCTAAGTATGTGAATTTGTCCACCACTTCAAAGGTAAAGTTATCAACCGTGAATTGGGGACCGATGTTCCTGACTATTGTTGGGTGTTGATGCCATCATCTTAGTTTTCTCCTCATTTACTTGCAGGCCCATAGATTTTGAGGCATTTGAGAAGGTGGTATACATTTCTTCCAGCTTGTGTGTTGTGTGGGCAACTAGATCCACATCATCTGCATATGCCAAAGTTTGGGATGATTTATTAAAAATATTTCCTCTGTTGTCTATTCGGGCATCTCTGATCGCCTTTTCCAGAGCTATGTTGAAAAGGAGACACGCCAGAGCATCTCCCTGTCGCAGCCCAACATGCGTTCCAAACGCCTGTGATTGTTCGCCCTGTATTTCGACTTTGCAAACCACATTACACATTGTAGCCTTAACCAATCTTATCAGTTTATCGGGGATATGGAATATCTTAGGACACTATTATAGGCTGTGTCTAAGTCTACAAAAAGATGGTATGTATCGATATTGAATTCATTGGTTTTTTCCAGTATTTACCTTAGCACAAAGATCTGATCTGTTGTTGATCGACCAGGCCTAAAGCCACTTTGATATTCCCCGAGAAGTTCCTCTGAATATGCACTTAGGCGACCATATAAGATCCTCAAAAATATTTTGTATGCTGTATTAAGGAGGGTTATTCCCCTATAGTTTCCACATTCCAATTGGTCACCCTTTTTGTGTAGCGGGAAAACGATTCCAATACACCACTCTTCCGGGATTTGTTCCTCATTCCAGGCTCTCAATATTATTTTATATATTTGATTAGCCACAGTAGCACCTCCACATTTAATAAGTTCCGCAAGTATACCATCACTTCCTGGAGATTTATTGTTTTTTAGGTGTTTTATTGCATCTCGCACTTCTTGAATTGACGGAGGCTCTAATGGTGAATTGTTGCTTGCTCCTGCGGGTGGTTGATTTGGATCTGGATCTTCTACTTCTATAGTAAGTAGTTCTTTAAAGTGTTCCACCCACCTTTTCAGTACTTCTTCTTTTGTATTTAGTATATGCCCCTCCTTATCCTTACATAGTCTGAGCCTTGGTTTGAATTTTCTTGTATTATTCAGAGTTTTGTAGAATTTTCTTGTTTGGTTTTCGTTTTTTTTTAATACCTCAAGTTCTTTCAATATTCTATTTCGTGAGTTCGCTTTTTTCTTCTATGAATGAATGACTTTACAAATGTTCGAACTTCAGCCCTTGCTGTATTTGATACAAACCCAAACGTTGTACAAATTCTTTTTTAACCTTGTTTATTGTGTCTTTAGAAGTATTGTTTATTGCTGTCCGAATTCTCGTAGTTCTTTAAAGTGTTTCACCCACCTTTTCAGTACTTCTTCTTTTGTATTTAGTATATGCCCCTCCTTATCCTTACATAGTCTGAGCCTTGGTTTGAATTCCTTTCTTGTATTATTCAGAGTTTTGTAGAATTTTCTTGTTTGGTTTTCGTTTTTTTTTAATACCTCAAGTTCTTCCAATATTCTATTTTCGTGAGTTCGCTTTTTTCTTCTATGAACGAATGACTTTACAAATGTTCGAACTGCAGCCCTTGCTGTATTTGACAGTAACCCAAACGTTGTACAAATTCTTGTTTAACCTTGTTTATTGTGTCTTAAGAAATATTGTTTATTGCTGTCCGAATTCTCTGTTGTAATTCTTAAATATTTGCTTGTTTCGTTTGATACACAACATTCTTCAGATGACCCCACATAAAATAATCCAAAGGACTGAAATCTGGTGACCGCGCTGGCCATTCAATAGGTCCACCTGTTCGGAAAAAAAATCATCTAGGTACCTTCTAACATCTACAGCATAATGTGGAGGTGCACCATCCTGTTGCAACTATAAAATTCATCAAAACTTCCAGGATTACGTCTGCTGCGAAACAAATTAGGTAAAGTAGGTACGAGATACCCCCTTAAAAGCTCAAGGTATGTTGCCCCGTTTAAACTACCTTCGATAAAGTAGGGTCCGATGATTCGATTTCTTACAATTGCAGTCATACATTTACCTTTTGCGAGTATTGTGTATGATGCTCACGCTTCCGGTGGAGGTTTTCTTTTGCCCAGTATCTACAATTCTGATGGTTAACCTCGCCATTTAACGTGAAAGTGGCCTCATCAGAAAAAATAATGTTTTGTACCAAGAGAGGGTCTCGGTGGCAGTTATCCATCTAATAAAGGTTTGCTGAAGCGAATAAAATAAAACACCGTTTTCACTTGACAATCAAAATCGAAAAAAAAAAATTGGTTAGAACTCTATTTAAAGCATAATCCAGACATTAGTGTTAGAAAACACGAAGGTACCAGCTAAAACGATTTTTTAACAATTTTCTCACAGGTATGAAAAAGTTCAAATTTCTGAGAGTCGAATTTTTAATATAGGATGAAACATTTCGGCATTTCGACGGTCCAAAAACCTTCAACTTCGACTGGATAAATCATTTTCGTCAGCATATAAACCTAGAAAGATAATCCAGTGCTACTCATATTGGATAACCATGAGAATCACATTTTTTTGGAGATTTATACTTAGGTACTGCAGATCACAGAGAATTGTTATGGTTTCACTTCCCACGTCATACCTCACACAAGCTTTAATCTCTTGCCCTAACGTTTTTTGGGTTCCTAAAGAATGCTTCAAATGGTGAGTGTAACGTTTATCTGGGAACTTATACTTATGAAAACATCATAGAAAAGAGCATATCTGAGAGTTGCCACGATGGACAAAGGAATATCCGTGTTCCGTGCTACTGGAATATGGCGCATCGATCGTAATAAATTTCCTGAAGATGATTTCAGCTTAGTGATCGACGATACCAACGATACGAAATGAAACCGACAATACCAACGGTACCAGTACACTTGAGCTTCTTTTTCTTCTTGCTGCTCTAAACAAATCAATAGATCCACATTTATACCGATAATATAGATTGTTTAACCAATAATTCTGTCTGCGGCCAACATATCTTCTTTCTTGAAACTTTTCCCGGAATTATGAGTCGCTAAATTTTATATTTTGTTCCCCTCATCACTTAGCCTAGGTATTCCAGTTTTCTGGTTTGTATAGTGATAATTAGTTCTGTTTCTTTACTAGTCCTCACCAGTGCTTCTTTATTTATAATTCTATCAGTCAATAATATTTTTGATACTCCGCGATATAACCAGAGTTCAGAAGACTCGATTCTTTTTAAATTGTATTTTTTTAAAGTCCAAGTTTCAGCTCCATATAACAATATTGAAAATATATACCATCGAATGGTATACGATCCAGGCTCTGACAATATACCAGCCGAATTTCTTAAGTACGGAGAAGAAACTTTACATAGACAATTACACAAACTAATAACACTTATATGAAACGAAGAGAAAATACCAACAAAATGGCACGAAAGTGTAATAATTCCTATCCATAAAAAGGGAGACAAAACCAAGTGCTCTAACTATAGAGGCATCTCCCTACTTAATACGGCGTACAAAATCTTATCAAACATCCTATTAAGTAGACTAACACCTTTTGTAGAAAATTTCATAGGGGAATACCAAGCCGGATTCAGAAAAAATAGATCGACCATAGATCAGATTTTTACTCTCAGGCAGCTGCTTGAAAAAGGATGGGAATTCAATAGAACCATTCATAATCTCTTCATAGATTTCCGACAAGCATACGACAGCATTAAAAGGGATCAGATGTGGAATGCAATGGCAGAACTTTCAGTTCCAAAAAAAAACTTATCCAGCTCGTTAAAGTTTGTGTAAATGGCTGTAGATCTAGAGTGCGGATAGGTAACAAGCTCTCAGAGTCGTTTGAAATAAACAGTGGACTGAAACAAGGAGACGCGCTGTCACCTCTTCTTTTTAATATAATCCTGGAAAAAGTAGTAAGAACCGCACAAATTAGAACAGAACTACTGACAGTAAATGGACCAAAATTACTACTAGCATACGCGGATGACATTGACATTGTAGGAAATACCGTCACCAATGTAAAAGAAACCTTCAATAAATTAGAGAGAGAGAGGCAACAAATACCGGTCTAAGGGTCAATGAAGAGAAAACCAAATAAATGTGCATTAACAGACAAAAGAGACGAGATAGAATAGGACAAAATGTAACCCCTATAACTTTGAAAGAGTGGAGAGTTTTAAATATCTCGGAGCGACTATCACCACAGATAACGATATCACGGAAGAGATAAAAGGGAGAATTCAGGCAGCAAACAGATGTATGTATAGCCTCCACAATACTATTAAATCCAAGAGCCTAACATGAACATCAAAAATCAGGATATATAAAACAGTAATTAGACCGGTGCTCATGTATGGGTGTGAGACGTGGACGCTGACAAAAGCAATGGAAAGTAAACTCAGATGCTTTGAGAGAAAAATCCTCAGAAAGATCTTCGGTCCCTATCACGATCCGAATACTAACCAATACCGAATGAGAACAAATGCCGAGGTCAAACAAATGTATAGTGCTAGCGACGTAGTCCAAGAGATTAAATCCCAACGTCTAAGATGGGCTGGCCATGTTCATAGGCTCCCTAATAACCACCTTACCAAGTTAATCTTGAAAGAAGTCACGACATGGAGAAGGCCCTTAGGACGTCCACGAATGCGATGGAGAGATAATATATGGTCAGATTTGAGAACAATGGGGCTACCTACTGACTTAAACATCATGGACGACCGTTCGAGATGAAAGCAGGTTGTGCAGTCAGCCAAGACCCACCCCGGGTTGTAGTGCTACCAGAAGAAGAAGAAGAATGGTATACGTGCTTGGCGAAGGAAGGCGAAGGATAGGGAAGACTGGAGAGAAAGTAACGTAAGCCTATTTCGGAATCTAAACAGCAGTACAAACACTATATCAGCAAAAATTCTCACATGGGGTAATGTTGAAGGTACGGTTGGGCATGGTAGATATATTTAGATATGTCAAAGAATATCATAAAAATTAGGAAAGCTCAAAGTCGAAAATATTTAAGGTCTAGGGAAGACGACACTTAAAGAAGAATAGGAAAAAGAAAATAAAGGCTATACGTACAAAATTTTAAATGTCAATGTCTTATTAATATATTTTTGTAATTCAAAAACTTACATGAAGTGTCATGGAGTATAAAAAAGGGCTCTTTTAACTTTTTTAAGTCGTGCGTACCTGTTGCTAATATAAATTTTCAACAATTGGTATTGGATCATATAGATTATATATTAAATTGTTTTTTAGGCATTCAGTGGAACAATATTTTTACTCCAAACACTCCAGATGATTCTTTAACTTTAGGATTAATTCTAATGATGTTAACAGTTGACGCAATAATGTATTTGCTAATTGCATTATATATAGAGGCTCTTTTCCCCGGCGAATTCGGGGTTCCACAACCTTGGTATTTTCCATTCACTGCACAATATTGGTGTGGACACCCTATTTACAGAGGTAAGCGATATTTTACTTTGAAAATTTGGAAATAATAAACTTAAAACTTAAAATTAATTACTATGCGCGAGCCGCGAATTATGAATGTTCTTGGGAAAACACTTTTTTAAAAATTGAACTTCACAAATAAAACTTTTATTTTCGACTTACAAAGATTTAAGTAGCAACAACAATAAATTAAATCCGACTATATTATAAATCAGATTAAACTACAAATCAGACTGAAAATATCGATTTTTACATGGTGTTTGTATAATTTTATAATTGCTGATCTTGCAGTCCAATTCAGTCCAGAATGATCGAGCGGTAGTCCCGTGTGGAATCCACGTGGTAGAATTTACTGGATGGTAGCGGTCATTGTACTGTAACTCGCGTAACGGCAAGTGCAGTAATTTTACAAGCATGTAATAAGCTTCTAACTCAAGTTGTGTACTATACTTTTTCTACGATTATTTTTATTTTTATTTTATAAAAAGTATAACAAGTAACTTTTATTTATTTAACAAAATTTAAACAATTAAAAAACAATTTAAATTAAACATTTATTTATAATAATTAATTGTAAAATTTTGGCAATTATTTATATAAACTATACCCTTATCCGAGTTTGGCGGTTGTTCAAAAATACGTGGTGAATGGTGAGATGACGTAAACATTGGTATTTTCAGTGTATGTAAAGGTCTGTAAATTACTTTCAATTGAATTTATAAGTCTATTGGCTGTTAACGTCGTATTATTTATTGACTCATCGACATATCCTTCTGCCATTGTTGAAGATTTACATCCGCCATGTCGTTTAAGAGAAATTAAATCTACCAAAATAGTGGCAGAAGTTCGTCTTAAACATTGACATGTGTACATTTTGGGATCGGATTACTTTAAAGATTCGGCTATTTGTTTAGGAACACTGCCTATTTTGTTTAATCCTACCACCTGTTTCGTACATTTACTTCTTTGATAATTAAGAAAAAATTGATTAATTTGCGGATCGCTAATCTGTAGTCGAATTTCTATATATTGAAATAACGAAAGATCTACATATTTATTTTGGTTTTCGTATCAGTAATTGTAACCAATAACATGGTACTTAAACCATCAATGTCACAAATTTTAAGATTTTTTAACTTTTGTTTCCTACAAGCTCCACATATTCCAATAATTGCAATAAACTTAAAATAAAAGTATTATAAGAAGGCACATTTCTGTTATACTTTTAAAAATCATACCTTTATTAACAAGTACTGTACATCAGGAGCTCTATTTAAAAAAGTTTTATTTCATCAGGATGTAAAATTTTAGATTTTTTGTTTTTAAAACCTTCTGATTGCCTTTTTAGATAAGCTCACAATTTCGGGTAATTTTCAATATTAACATTATTTTTCAAAGTTATAACACTTCTTAGCATAGAATAATATAGCCCATAATGAGAATGGTTTAAATTTCTTAGCGATTTCTCCAAAATAAGCCAAGAGTACGTTTTCAGAAAATGAATTTACATTATTTGTTGTACGCCAATCCATAAATTGCTGATATACCTTTTCATATCTTCCTCTAGATTTTTCTGGTAATAGGTTCTCGGTAGCGTTTGCATGTATATACTAAAGGCAACTGATTTAGATTACAAAGATCTTCGAATAATCAAGAACATATACTACAACTAATCAGTAACCATTAGGGTGAAAGACCAACTAACAGAGGAAGTTGCAATAAAGAGAGGAGTACAACAGGGCTGCATACTCTCTCCCCTATTATTTAACGTCTATTTGGAACCCGTCATGAGCCAGGGCTTAGAGCATATGGAAGAGGGTATTCTCATAAATGGTGAACGCCTGAATAACATCAGATATGCACGAAAATGGTTTTCCTTGACCACTTCAGGACTATTTCGAGCTGCGATCAATAAAGTTAGAATTGCCATGCTATTGCCAACATCCGTAACGGATAGGCACCACAAGAAGAAGAGTGATTGCAGCTAACTGCATAATATTGGGTGGTGTGCTACTAAATTCATCTTCACTATTCGATGAACTCATTTTATTTATCTGTATTTGAATAATCACTTTATTTACACTGATAGATTAATAATTTTTAATCTGTCAAAACATCATCTGTTAATTCGTTTCCATGGTCACTAGACCAATTGACTTACAAGGCTTATGTGATATTAGTGTAATGTTAACATAGCAAGAAAATAACGAATAAAAAATAAGGGGTAGTAGCCTAAAAAACAGTAATAATTATTTAAATAATTATTATATATTCCAAATTAAATGAAGAATAAATTCGATACAGTTAATGTATCGATTTATACAATTATACAAAGAATAACAATTTGACCTAGTTTGACACAAGCCCGAATGTTTAAGAATTACGAAATCTGAAGACCTTCGTGGAAAATAATACAACGAAGCGACACACCATGGCATGATCCATTCTAACACGTGGAACAGAACAGCAAAAACACTAGGAATGTTCGCCGGACATAAAAACTAAAAAATTGGTCAAGCGGATCAGTAGTAGCTGGACACCCGTGATTGCTCGAGGCAGGAGTTGCTGGCCCCGTGAGTGCTCGGAGGTGGTAGCGTCCAGTACGGGAGTCAGTAAGAGTGGAACGGTCGCGAAGGCTTCACGCCTCGAGTACGGGCGCTCGCGCTATTGTATTTCAAGGGGTAATAGTACCGTATAAGTGTCGGGAGTTCGAAAGTTCGTGATAGAGCGCGGTACCTCCACAACTGAACCTGAATTCCAGTAGGACTGGAAGGCGTATTCATTAGCTAGGGCCTAAATACGCGAAGGTAACTAAATCACTGTACTAACCCAAGTAATATATAAAAAAACGCACATTGTTCACCCTTTAATTTCTTGCTAAGGTCTCTTCTCGTCTCCATTCGCGCCTGAACGAATCTTTATTGTTTATAACTGACAGCTTGTTAACTTAATTGTAGCATGTAGTCTATTTAATACATTTGTAGACTCGAAATTTGGTTTTAATGTTCCTTCCCGGCCGTTACAGGCAGAGACTAGAAGAGTACACAATTTCCGCATATGCATTTCTTCGGCTTCTAAAGTAAGCCCATAGACTCAACTCTTTACAGGACCTGAGACCTAGAAGTCCTTAACCCTTTTTCCAGATTTTCCTACCCTCTTGTAAATCCACGAGGGCGAACCAGCCAGTTCAGACTAGTAGGACCAGTAAGCCTTGCCTCCGCTCGCAGGATAAGCATCTTTTAAAGTTTAACCCGAGGATGTTACAGGGGTTACAGTAATTTTAACTCCGCTAGTATTTCAATGGTGACAGCGGACTTGAACCCGCTAGCATTACATTACACATTTTTAGTATAATTTTTATAGAACTGAAGCGTAATTTTTTTATTATGTGTCAGTATTTGTTTTGATGTATTTACTTATCATCCAAATAGTAGGTAATATACAATTTACTAGTAAGAGAGTAGAAAAACATTTTTTTTCTTATTATGTGGTTGCGAAACATACGCCGAGGAATATTAAATGTAAGTGTTGCCTTATGAATAGCCATGCCATTGGCTACACTGGTACACTGTGCCCTTTTGCTGGTGTACATATCTGCAAAGAAAAAATATTTTAAACGATTATGTAAACAAATTGTTTATATTGTCAACCAGCTCTTAATATGGCCAGTCGACTCTTAATAAGGCTAATCAATTGGCGTTATTAGGGCACTGTCTACTTTTCTATTTAACATAAAAGAACAATAATAAAAAGCAATATAGCGAAAAAACAGTACCAATTCCTAAAAGAGTATTGATTTTCGATTGCTTTACAAAGAAATAATATTTGGTATATATTATTTAAGTAAATGTATAGTGATTCTATAACTTACCTAAAATTTATAACCGAACTTCGGCAACGTAGTAAACATGTGTCTATTTTGCCATTTGGCGCCTTTAACCTTATTTAAACAAATTTATCATTTACAAATGGCAAGAAACTATTTATTTTGAATTAAATAAAGAAGTTTTATTAAAACAAAAATCTTCTTCCTTTGCCCTATCCGTTTCGGATGTTGGCTATTAACAAGGCTATTTTGACTTTGTTTACGGCACCTCTGAACAGTTCGGTCGATGTTAGTCCGAACCATTGTCGCAGGTTATGCATCCATGAGTGTCATTTTCTTCCCGGTCCCCTCCTACTGTCGATTCTTCCTTGGACTATTAACTGTAGCAGCCGGTACTTAGTATGGCTCATGTCCGAATTACTCAAGCTTCCGTTTCTTTACGGTGAAAATTATTTCTTTGCTTTTGCCTATTCTCTGCATTACTTCAACGTTAGTGATGTGGTCTGTCCAGGATATCCGAAGAATACGGCGATATATCCACAGCTCAAAGGATTCTAGTTTCTTCAGGGTGGCTTCCGTTGTGCCTCTGCTCCATAGAACAAGACCGGGAAGATATAACACTTGACCAGTCTTAATTTTAGTTCCATTGAGATTTTGCTTGTGAACCACTTTTTCATATTGTTGAACGCGTTTCGCGCTTTTTCATTCGTGATCTTATTTCTGTTGACTGGTCCCATTTTGTGTTGACTGTGGTTCCAAGGTATGTGTATGTCTCCACTTGTTCTATTTTTCGGTTGTTTAATGTCAATTGCATCGGAGGTTGTTGTGTTCTGTTAATGAGCATGCATATAGTTTTGGTTGTATTGAGTTCTAAACCATATTCTTGACTTGCTGTGTGTATGCTTTGCATGAGTCTTTGAAGGTCGTTGCAGTCATTTGCGATAATAACTGTGTCGTCAGCATATCTAATATTATTCATTACCTCTCCGTTTACTTTGATACCATCCGAAACTTCTCCCAGTGCTTCTCTGAAGATTTGTTCAAAGTATATTTGTTCAGAACGGTGAGAGGACGCATCCCTGTCGTACACCCTTTTTAATATATATCTTCCCACTGTGTAAGTTGCCCATCTTTATCCTAGCACTTTGGTTCTAATAGAGACTGGTTATTATGCGCAGATCCTTGCCATCAATATGCATCTTTCTGAGCATTTCCATGAGTTTATCATGTTTTACCTTATCAAACGCATTGGAGAAGTCGATTAAGCACAAGTGGACGTCCTTGTGCATGTCTCTGCATCTTTGAATTAAAACTTGCAGACTGAAGATCGCCTCTCTTGTGCCCAATGCGCTTCGGAATCCGAACTGTGACTCCGATATATTTGCTTCGCATTTGTTATTTATTCTATTGTGTATGATTTTGGTGAAAACTTTGGTAATGTGATTTATCAAGCTTATTAAGCGGTGTTGATCACAGTGTTTTGCACTTGGTGTTTTAGGTATAGCTACAAAGGTCGATCGAAGCCATTCCTCCGGAATCTCTCCTTTGTCGTAAAAGGTGTTAAAAAGCCCTGTCAGAAAATCCAGGAAGTGGTCATCCGTTTCGCATAGGAGTTTTATGACACGCCCTGTATGTTGTCGGGACCTGGTGTTTTGTCGTTTTTTAGCGATGAAATGGTTTTTTCCACTTCAGACCTTAGTATTTCGGGTCCAGTCATGTCGTCTGTCATCTTGGTCCACTATCGCTCTGCGTTTATCGTTAAAAAGTCGTTCTACGTAATCTTTCCATGTGTCAATGAGCTTCAAGTCGTCTGATATAAGGTTACCGTCTGCGTCTATTAGTGTCGGGTGGGGATTATTGGTTTTCTTTTTAGTTGTTAATTCTTTGATTTTTTTGTGCATGTTGTGGTAGTCATATCTTCTGTCGCACTCTTCGATTTCATCGCATTTCTCCTTCAGCCAGCGTTCCTTCGCTTCCTATATCATTGTTTTTATATTGTGACTTGTTTCTTGATACTTCACTTGATTTTTGCATTTGTGTTGTCTTCTTTCTTCCATCATATCAAGGATTTTATCCATCATTCATTCTTTCTTCTTAACGCGTTCCTGTAACAGAAGTGTCTTGTTTGTCATTTCAACAGCTCTTTTTATTTCTTCCCATTTAGCAACTGCGTCTTGTGCGGGTTCACTCAAGTTTACAATGTTTCTTCTTAAGGATTCCTGTACTTGTTGTTTAATGTTGGGATCCTTTAATTTCCTAATGTTTATCTTGCTTTTGTTAGGCTTCCCTTCTATACGTTTTAGTTTGATTCCCAGTTTACCCACCACTGGGTTGTGATCCGATTGAGCGTCAGCCCCGGGATAGGTTTTCACTGATGTGATTGAGTTTCTGAATCTTTCTGGTATGGCAATGAAGTCGATCTGGTTTCTTACATTTGTTTCTTTCGAGTCTGCTGACGACTTCCAAATGTAAAGTCTGCGAGGGGGCAGTTTAAAAAAAGTATTAGTTATCAATAGGTTTTGTTCCTGACAGAAGCGTCAAGCGATAAAAAATATATTTATTTAGTTCAAATAAATGTTTCAATCATATACTCTACGACACTGGTCGGTCATCTGTAACCAAAATACTTTCGTAATCGGATTATAAGGTTGACCGCTGTACTCGTATTACTGCAGATACAAGGTGGGTTAGTCGAAACCATCTTAAACCGTCAGTTTCAGGTTGGTTTTACTATTATATCGTATTACCTATCATCTCTACAACGTATGCTGTTTGATACTATTGACTGAATGGCGTAGACGATTTTGACTGGGAAAGAGATTACAGTGACATCTAGTATATAATATCTACATTTAAGGAAATATTTACAATTGGCCTTATTAAGACACTGGCCTTATTTGGCGTCACTACCTTATTACTCTTCATTTTCCATTTAATAAGCCGTGAAATTAACCTAGTTAAAATTTATTTTAGGTGTTGAAGATTTTCATGAAGGTGGTCCACAAGGAGAATTTTTCGAAGCAGAACCAGTAAATCTAAAACCAGGTATTCAAATCCGCAATCTTAAAAAAGTCTTTCATTCAAAGGTAGCTGTTCGAAATCTTTCAATAAACATGTACGAAAACCAAATAACAGTACTACTAGGACACAACGGTGCTGGTAAAACTACAACGATGTCAATGCTAACAGGAATGTTGACACCAAACGGAGGTACTGCAAAGATTAGCGGGTATGATATTAGAACTGATATGGAAGGTGTTAGAAAAAGTTTGGGACTTTGTCCGCAGCACAATATTATTTTCGATGAGCTCACTGTGGCTGAACATATTTACTTCTTTAGTAAACTTAAAGGAATGAGAAAGGGTGAAATTAAGAGCGAAATAGACAAATACGTAGATCTTCTCGAATTGCAACCAAAGGTATGTTAGGTTAAGGATATAATAGGCATCAGCCCAAGTATAACCTTGATTATGTCCATTTTTTTAGGGCCAATATTTTTTATTTTGTTTTTTAAATTTATATGTTACCGTGAAAGTACAAAATTAGTGAATGTTAACATTTGTAAAACTAGAACAGATGGCCATTTGAAAGAAACGATAGGTGAGCATGGGAAAGGGGGTCAAATTATATGGCGAACCAGACGCAATTTATAAAATTTTTTTCCTTAGTTTCCTAGCATTTAAAAAAAAATCATTTTCCCCCAAAATAAAATTAATAAAATTTCATTTCTCTACCTTGACTGTAGGCAACCAATATTACATATCTGTTTTTGTATAAACGGAGCTGTGACATCTAACCAGTTGCAAAACTAGAGATGGAGCCTAATGCAACATTTCGAACGTAACAAGGCGAACGAAATGAACGTGGATCTTAGTATAGTAAACCCAATGTTCAAAGAAAATAATGCAGAAACTCTAACTATTGACCAAAAATGGAGAAAAATTCAACATGTCCTTGTGTCAGTTGGAAAAGAAACCGCCAAACCACTTAAAGAAAAAACAAAACCTTTGATGACAGTAGAAATTCTTGAACTCATGGAAGAACGAAGAAAACATAAAGCAAAAGACCTGAATAAATACAAAGAAATTTAGAGAAACATCAGAAAGAAAATTCGAGAGGCAAAAGAGAGGTGGCTCTTCGACAGATGCAAGGAAATAGAAGATCTGGATAAAAAGTACGATAGCTTTAATTTACACAAAAAAATCAAAGAAATGACAGGTTCTAGAAAGCTTACAAAAACGAATATCCTTAAAAATGATAAAGGGGATATTATTACTGATATGAAGGAAACATTATGTCACTGGACCAATTACATTCAACAACTATTTAATGATGAAAGAGAAGAACTGTCATTAGAAATCACCGAGGATACTGGACCACCAATATTAAGAGAAGAAGTCATCTATGCCATCAAAAACACAAAAGAGGGTAAAGCAAAAAAATTATTAAAACTCATACGATGAAGATGTTATTGATGTAATGGTTGAAGTCTTTAATCTAATATATCAGACTGCCACAATCCCCAGACAATGGCTGCAATCAACCTTTGTAGCAATTCCCAAAAAACCAAGTTCAACAACTTGCTCAGACCACAGAACAATAGCTTTAATGAGCCACACACTTAAAACATTTTTGAAAATAATTCACAGCAGAATTGTTAAAACTCTTAAATATGAGATTAGTGACACACAATTTGGCTTTAGGAATGGTATAAGTACGATGCTTTGTTCGCTTGAATGTGCTGGCTCAGAGATGCATGGACATGAATCAGGATATGTACTTATGTTTTGTAGACTTTGAAAATGCATTTGATAAAGTTTAACATAAAAAGCTTGTAGATATATTAAAAAGCAAAAATATTGATAGTCGTAATCTGAAAATTATATCTAATTTATATTCGAATCAAACTGCCAAGGTAAGAGTTGACAGCCAGTACACCGAAAATATCAAAATACAGAGAGGAGTCCGCCAGGGTTGCGTGCTGTCACCACTACTTTTCAATGTCTACAGTAAAGCGGTATTTCAAGAAGCGCTCTCAGACTCAATAGAGGTATATCTATCAATGAAGAAGTTTTGAATAACTTACGTTTTGCAGTAATACAGTAATACGATACAGTAATAATTACGGATAACAACAATGATTTACAGAACGTAATGCAACGCCTTAATGAACGCTGTCATGAGTACGGACTGAAGATAAATTTAAAAAAAAACTAAATGCATGATCATGACTAAATCTGCACATGCAAATATCCAATTGACTATTGAATATACTGCAATTGAAAGTGTTAATAACTATAAATACTTAGGAACATGGATAACATCAGATGCAGACCAAACCAAAGACATTAAGACACGTATTGAAATAGCACGTACATTCATTTATTAAACTTAAAAAGTTTCTTTGTTGTCGGGATATAAGGTTAGAACTACGTCTGAGAATGCTTCGATGTTACGTGTTGTCTACTCTTTTTATGGTTTGGAAGCTTGGACACTAAAACAAGTTCATCTGAATAAGTTGGCCGCCTTTAAATTTTGGTGATACAGAAGAATCTTACGAATATCATGGATTCAAAGAATGTCAAACATGGAAGTAACTAGCAGGATAGGAAATGAGGCGGAAATAATATTAACTATTAAAAGACGAAAACTTGAGTACTTGGGACATGTGATGAGAGGGCAAAAATACGCATTATCACAACTTATTATGCAGGGCAAAATCCGAGGAAATCGAAATGTGGGAAGACGAAGAATATCCTGACTTAAGAACTTAAGGGAATGGTTTGAATGCAGTAGTGCAGAAATTTTTAGAGCGGCAGTCAACAGAGTCCGCATAGCCATGATGATTTCCAACCTGGATAGAAGATGGAACTTAAAGAATAAGAATGTTTAAAACATCATCCGCGAAGATTATCAACATGGTATTCGTTTGGAGGACAATACAAGAATCAACTAGATTATATTCTTGTCACTAAACGATGAAGGAGCTCAATAATCGACGTGAAGATAAAACTAGCTGCAGACTGTGGTTCCGACCACAAAATGTTACAAGCAGAAGTTCGTATTAGGTTACACAGTAAAATAAATCACAAATAAGAGACAAAAATTGATTCCAAAACATCCGGAAAAGTTTAAGAGCAGCATTAGCAGAAGCTGACCTACCAGTGCCTACCGAAGACCCTGACAAAACGTGGAAATACACAAAGAAATGGATGACTAAAGCCATCAACTCTACTAATATCAAAAACAAAACAGCTAGGAAAAACATTGAATGACTGAAGAGACATTCTTGTAGAAGAAAGACGTATGTATACAACTAGAGGAACATGCTGACCGCCAAGAATCTAAAAAACTTTTCTCAAAAGTCAAGTACCTAGCAAGAGAAGTCAAACTGCAGATACAGATCATCAAAGATAATACTCTTAGTGGAAATACCATAACAAATCAAGACGGTATCGTAGAGGTGTGGAAACGATATTGCGAAATACGATCCAGACTCTAATAATGTAACGACTATTTTGCTTACCTCAGGGTAAGAACATAGGGGAGAAGATTGGGCAAACAAAATAATCGAAACAAGTGCGTACGGCACTCAGTTGGTTGTTGGAGAGCTGGGTCGTGGATAAATTGAAGATATGGGTGATGGATTGGGGCAACTACAAAAAAAAATAAAGGGGTACTTATACAAATCTCTTGGGACAAACAGAATGAAAATAAACCGGAAACACCTTAAGAAAGTTAATATAGGGCGCCACTTGAGGTGCCTAATTATACCTATTACAACCACTAGTTGTAACTAGGGAAATAATTATAGAACATCAAAAATATAGAAAAAAATATTTTTTTCAAATAAAACTCAAAATAGATCAGAGAAACAAATTAAACATTTATTTTTGTCTCAAACAAACAGTTATCAAAAATACAGATTATAAAAGAAACATATCATATAACATAATGCAAAATAACAAAAACTTACATGTTCTTTGTTTAGATAAAAGATTGCTACAAATATTTTGAAATGGTTCCTAGGTTATATATGGCCAATTTAGATTATCAAAATTTTATGGATATCCGTTTTATGAAAAAAATATTGAATTTCACCTTATTTAAAAATCTAAAACCAACTAATGTCAAAAAAGAATAATAAAACTAGCTGTCACAGGTCAAAATTGAATTTTAAAAACTGAACAAATAAAATGACAGTTAAGACCACACCCTAAGATTTACAATATTTATTATTAAAATTTTAAATAATTATGAAAGCAATTATTACTTTAGCCAAAAAAATGTCTGTCTTTACTTTGAAAAATTAATATATTGAACTGTTACCTTAAAATTTACAAATTTCGCACTTAAACTTTGAAACTTGCTACATCCCGGTACTGAAACTGCAAGGACGAAACTCTCGAACAAGGGGAACCACTTCCATACTCAGGAACAAAAGAAGACCATCTCCATAATTTGGAACGCCGATCTGACGTAGATGGGCTGGATCAAACAAGAAAAACGACAACAAAGCTGTGGGACATCCTATATAATACTTTTCAAAACGGTATCGATACAAATCTTCTAATGTACTCCAAAAAAAAAAAAAAATAGAAATAGTGGTGACTCTTTTCTAAACTGACATATTACCTAGAGTCTACTATTTTTAACCAATCTTGCCGGTCTCTTTACCGACAAATCAAAACGTCTTCTCCATTCGAATCTTTTCTTCGACTCTACATGCACGTCTTCTCTGCTTTGAACTTAAATGTCGACTCCCTATTTACGTTACATTGTACAAATTCAAAGCAAAATCAATTTCCCTTTTACGTCTCAAAACCTCAACAAACAATCTTCCCCTTGTTTTTATGGTAATCTTTATGCGTACTGACGAGATAAACGAACAGAGATGTATTATAAAATTTAAAACGCTACAATAACGACCCAAACAATAATAAAGAGAAAATAAGTTATGAAAAAGAACCTCAAATATTAAAATTAGATATCGAGGTGGCAATTAAAATGCTAAAATTCAGAAAAGCAGAAGGAAAAGTTGGAACAACAGCTGAAACACTCAAATAAAAGGGAGAATTAGGGACGGAAGAAATGTATTGAATTTACAATGAGATTTGGAATACCGGAAAGTGGCCAAATGACTGGGGTAAAGTCATGTTTATTCCCATAAATAAAAAAGTTCACCGACAGATTTCAGTAATTACCGTACAGTAGTATTGATATCACACGCGAGTAAAGTACTTCTAACCATCATGAATGAAATACTAAAATCAACTCTCTTACCAAAAATTTCCAAAGAACAATGCGAATTCGTCGCACGTAGTAGAACAAAAGAATATGTTCTTAATATTCGTCAAATTATCGAAAAATCTCTAGAGTTTAACATTGAAACATATTTATGCTTTGTTGACTATTCCAAGACTTTCAGTGTCGTAAAGTTGGATAAAATGTGGCATATACTTAGAGAAATGGGTACGTCAGAACATCTAGTCTATTTATTACAAAAGCTATATGTAAATAATACTGCTAATGTAGGAGTTAATAATGTGGTGTCGAAAAACTTCAAATTAAAATCTGAAGTTCGACAGGGACGCATATTATCCCCTATTCTATTCAATATATATATATATATATATATATATAATATATATATATATATATATATATATATATATATATAATAAGAAAAGGAAAAGAAGTCTTTGCTGACAACGTTTAGAAAACGGAGCTTTGAGGTTTATTGGGATTTATTCAGCGGTGAAATAAGTGTACCTACTCTTTTAACTAAGTTTCAAGCTTTCGAAAATGTTTATTTTTATCATCAGGAAAAAACTGAAAATAAAGTGAGACTGTTAGTAAAGCATCCTCGAAATTAGTTATAGTGAATGGTTGTAAAAATCGAGAAAAAACTTACGTTAGTGAGGTTCGTCTTTCGTGGATGTTTCACTTACAGGTGACAATTTTACGCACCACTAATTGATTGAGTCAAAATTTAAAATATATAAAAATTGCATAGTGTAAAATACCAAACTTGATAAATTATTCTACTTTAATGCAGGCCATTCACGTTCCGACTTGTGGTACGACTAGTGGTCCAACTTCTGCAGTTGGATCTGAAATCGGACCGTGAGTGGGCTAGTTGGATTAGTTGGACAACTAGTGGTACGACTCGGAACATCTAGTAAGACGACTTGAAGATCCGACTTCCGACTGGCGACGAAGTCGGAGCGTAAATGGTGAAGTTGGAAGTCGGATCACAGGTTGGATCGAAAATTTCCTCAGTCAGTTGATCTTCGGCACCTGTTACGTATGAGATTTCTATGAAATACTTTACGCAAAGATCTCTAGTTCGCGAATATTTAATAGAAAATAAACTTTCAATTGCACGAAAATTACCTTTTTGTTAGGGCAAATCATTTTCCTTTCTGTAGATCTATTTCGGACATTCCCATACAGGTAAATTTCCGATACTCCAGATTGGCTACGGAAGAATTATCAACAAACAATAAAAACTAAATTATAGTTGTAGAAAAGATCCCTAGTTCGCAAAAAAAATAATAGAAAATAACTTTCAATTGCACGAAAAATTACTCCTATTAAAAATATACGACACACACACAACAAAATAAATCCCAGCTCCAGTTTAAAACAAATAAAATATAGATTTTATCCTACACAAATCTTTACAAACTATAATTTTTTTCCTGCATCTTAAAAAGTCATAAAAATCAAGAGTTCAAAAAAATTAATTAGTTCAGCCCTAGACAAATAACTAGAGAAACGAAACCTAATTTTTAAACATACATATCATAATAATTATATTTTGCGTAGTGTTTATTCGATACATTTTTTGGTTAAGCGATGTACACCAACGTGAAAACAACCTAGAACTGAAGTTGGACCGCTAGTTGGATAGAAAGTTGGAGCGTGAGTGGAGACGAACATCCAACTAGTAGTCCTACTAAGTGGGACCACAAGTCGGAACGTGAATGGCCTGTCTAACACATAAGAAAAAGACAGTTAAAAAGTTTTAAAACGGCCACGTGTGCCGGCCAACTGTTGAATGATAGGTTAAGAGTAACTGTCATTCCTGGACATGGCAAATGTCAATGTGAAACCTGGCGTGGACAGCCAAACTCACAAAAATTTGGAAGAACACTGGCATCACACCAAACATAAAATTACCCCTTGTTAGAGGGGTTAAGTTAAAAATAATGTAAGATTACAAATTAAAAGATTAATTTGTGATTGAACACTTATCGATCAAAAGTCTTTGATAACGTATGACTCTAGGGATGCAGTGGTGAAGTCACTGATGATGATGTGATTTCGTCAGTTCGTTTTCTTTTAACTTCTATACAAATCTATACAAATGAAAAAAAAAGAAAAAAATGAAACTGTAGGGTGATAATAGAGAATGTGTTAAGTAGAGGAACTTTTTTCGGATACTTAACACGATTTTGTATTTTGATTTATAGGTTGATATGTAGTCCGTGTCTTTTCAAGATAGCTTTACTTAAAATGTCGCTAATATCTTACATATTGGGACACTTTTTAGATAAATTTAATATATAGGGTTTGTTTGTAGAGAAACTCAAAAGCATCGACTCTCTCAGGCGGTATGAAAAGAAAACTCTGTGTGGGTGTAGCACTTTGTGGTAATTCTAAAGTCGTTATGCTTGATGAACCAACTGCTGGTATGGATCCTGCTGCAAGAAGAGCTCTCTGGAATTTATTAGAAACACAAAAAGATGGTAAGTCAATAACTCTAAACAATTTTGATTTGAAAGTCCTGATTTTTTAGGTGAAACTTGAAAATATTTAAAAGTTATCAATTATTTTTTAAAATTTAGATCATGGCAAATTCGTTGATAAGATTTAATTTGTCGTGTATGCTTTGAGATAGTAAAAGAGGTGATAGAAGCAACAGTAAGAAAAATGTGATACTTATTACTAGAGCTCGGGAAATATGCAAAATGCATAAAGGGAAACGATGGGGATATTTTCAACGTTCCCTGAGAGCACCAAACCCTCGTGGTGACCTGTCTTGATTTGTTAGAGGATTTAAGCGTGGGTTGCTGATTCGTTTTATTACTCTTGTGGGGGTGAAAGTATACACTTACACCTTTTTATCTTCGCTTTATTTGCTTGCACAATACTTTACACATATATACACCTTGCAACACTAAACTAACTTATAATATAACTTGTAATATATCTTGTTGTTTGATACGGGTGAGAGATGAAAGAAACGAGGAGAGAAAATAACTTCTTTTGCGACTTCTTGACTTGAGCTACTTAATGCGACTGAATTTATGCTTATATGTAATATGTGACTAGCTTGGTCAAAGGGACCAAAACGGGACAAAGAGTGATCGGGTGTATGGGAATCGTCAAGTACGCTTAGGATGTCTGGTTATTTTTACTAATAAGGGCTAACATGTGATATTCAGGAACAGAGGCGGCGTTAGGTTAAATTGTAACATTTAAAGAATTAGTTGGTTTTCCAACAATGCATATTAAGTGTATATTTGCATATTTTGGATAAATTGTATAAGTGCATATGCATTTATTAAAAGTGCATATTTTTAAGTGTACCACAATATAGACAAATATCTGAGAACGCTTCCGCTTCTGAATAGAGACTCTAGCTCGTTATTGTATCTGCCCCTCCATTCGTTTGTCACGCTGTCTCTGCAAGGGCCATATATCATTCGAAGAATTTTACGTTCCCACACCAGCAATTTATTTACTTCTCTTTTTGTTAGCATCCATGTTTCGCTTCCATACGCGACTGCTGGTCGTATTATGGTCTTATATATCCGGATTTTTGTACATTATGAAAGAAGTTTTGGCTTCATTAGATGTTGAATTGCAAAGAAAGATCTGTTTCCTGCCATTATTCTCGTTTCAACTTCTCACTCTAATTTGTTGTTATTTCTGATTGTTGCTCCTAGATATTTAAATTCTTTAACCACTTCGAAGTTGTGATCATTTGTAGTAATGGTGTGCCTTATTAGCCGTCGTTCTTGTTTTGAGACGACCATGTATTTTGTTTTGTCTTCATTTATTTTTAGACCGATGTTTAATGCAGCTTCTTCAAAGCTCGAGAAAATATCCTTAATTTCTAATGTTTCGCTCCCCGAGCAGTTATGTCTGGTTTGATTTTTGGATATATTTGTTGCATGACATATTCTAAGACCAGGTTAAACAACAATGAGGACAACGGATCTCCCCATGGACGTATAAACACAGATGGACTCAGTTATTTACATAAAATTGTGTAGTCAAAATTATTTGAATAGGTCACATTTTCAGCACCTTCAACTGTTATCACGTTTTGTTTTAAAATTTCTTATTCGCTGAAAATATTACTCCATATTTTATACTCTACAGGTGCTATCAAACGAAAATAATACTTTATTGGTTAGGTTAATATATTTAATTGTAATCAAAATATCAACTGTGCACATAGTATGCATTATCATTTAATAATAGCGTCTAATAGATATCAATCAATTATTTTATATGTAGAAGCACTGAAAACTATTTATAAATGGCAACGGTTGTTTACATTTCTGTTGTTGACATTTCTCTGTCTTATGGATCTACGTCAAACTTCAAATGCTGTTCCATGTTTGTTTACTTTTTACAGTAGATGAGGAAAGGTTCTCTGTATTTTGAGTGATATTTGTGAAAAGTAAAATAAAATAAACGAAATATTTACATCCCCATCTCTCATTTCATTTGTAAGTATATACAATTTACAATATTTAAGATGAGGAAATGAGGAAGCGTGTTTGTTTACATTTTAATAGGCGTACCATTGGGTTTATTCATGTTCATTAATGTATTGAATAAGATATGAGTTCTTGAAATTAGTAGACATTTTTAAATTGTAAGTAGACATCATCTGATTAAAAAAGATCTGTTTAGTACCTTTTTAATTTAATATTTCTCATGGATACAAATAAATTAGTGAAATGAATAAAAACTCATTGATTTTTCTATGTAGGGTTTCAAATAATATTGACGATCGAACTATTTGGGTAGCAAATTTAGAAGAAAACAAAGATTTTTTATTGTAGCATTATTTTGATACCTATTAAAAAATTAACGTGAATTCAACTATATTTTAATTGTAATAATTTTAAAGCAAATAAAATTGTATTTTAATTTTTCTATAAAGACGTAATTTGTTAATAGTTAAACTCTCGTTTTTTAAAATTCTTTGAATGTGTTTTTAGACATTCTTACGACTTCCAATTTTTAAAATCTGAATAATTACCCGCGAGTAAAAATTCAAGCACGCTTATGCTCATTGCGGAAGCATCACATTCTATCGAAGCTTCAAAACATTGTGTGTTAAAGGTATCTTATTGCTGTGTCCATCTATGTTTATTCGTCCATGGATCTCCCTGTCTTAGTCCAGAATTTATGCAGAAAGCATTTGATATTTTCCCCCTATTCTAACTTATGCAAAAGAGTTACTTACACACATTTGTGTTACCGAAGCTAGTTTCTTGGGTACGCCGAGCTCGATCATTGCCTTCCATAATATTGCACGATTAATTGAATCATAAGCCTGTTTAAAGTCTATAAAAATCTGATGCACATCGTGTTTATATTCCCAATACTTTTCCAATATTTGTCTTATTCTAAATATTTGATCAATAGTCGATCTGCCAGGCCTGAAACCACACTGGTAGTCACCAACTATTTCTTCGGTGTATGGTACTAATCTTTTTAATAATAACAAAGCCAATATTTTATATGTAGTGTTGATCAGTGAGATTCCTCTGTAATTCATGCATGATTCCTTTTTTTCCTTTCTTGTGTATTGGTATGGTCATGTTGGAAGAAACAAAACAAACGGCCCCTAGTCCCGGGCAGGCCTTAAATGGTCAAGGGGTGCGAAGAATCTCCCGGTTTCAACTTGATAAGACAATCAAAATTGCTACGTGGAATGTCAGAAGCCTATTTGCAGCAGGCAAACTACAAAATCTAATTCAGGAAATGAACAGAATTAACATCGATATTCTCGGCATAAGCGAATTGCGATGGGAAGGCACAGGCATGATCAATACTACTGGTAAAACCCTTTACTACTCATGCAGTGATAGCACAGACCCTCACCACAGACATGGGGTGGGAGTTCTGATAAGCGAAAATTTGCGCGCCTCCGTGAAGAACTTTGTCCCGATCTCCGAAAGAGTCATACTTATTCAGTTGCATGGAAAAGTTAACATAAATATTATACAAGTCTACGCCCCTACAGCAGACAAGCCAGAAGAAGAACTAGAGCGATTTTATCAACAGCTAGACGAAGCCTTAAAGGTGACTAAAAATCACGAAATTAACATCGTATTAGGAGACTTCAACGCAAAAGTTGGGGAAGGAGCTGTAGATCACGTAGTTGGAAAATATGGTCTTGGTCAGAGAAACGACAGAGGGGACAGATTGATACAGTACTGTCAAGACAAAGATCTAGTCATAACGAATACCTGGTATAAGTTACCACCCAGGAGGCTTTACACATGGAAGTCGCCTTTAGACGGACATCAGGGCATTATAAGGAACCAAATAGATTATGTGACAATTAATAGAAGGTACAGGAATGCTATTACTAAGGTATCTGCATTACCTGGAGCAGACATAGGGTCCGACCACAATCCCTTAGTAGCAAATATCAAACTGAGGCTCGCTACAGCTAAAAGAAAACACCAGAAGGCATCAGTAAACATTAGAAAACTCAAAAACAATGAAACAAATAAAGCGTACACAGAAGAAATAAACAATAGGTTCTCTAATATGGCAACTGAGAATGATGTTGAAAAGTCATGGACCACCATAAAAGAATCATTTGATGAGTTGAACAACACTTTTCTACTCGAGAGTAAAATAACTACCAAGAATGAGTGGATGACAGAAGAAATATTAGAGATGATGGAACAACGCAGGCAGTGTAAGATCAGGCAGGACGAAGTAGGGTACCGAAATATACACAGTCAAATTCGTAAAGAAATTATAGCGGCGAAGGAGATCTGGATGACTACACTTTGCGCCGAGGCTGAAAGCCTATATAAACTCGGCGACAGCTTCAATCTTCACAAGAAAATTAAGGAAATTGCTGGTGTCTTCAAGAAAAAACAAGTCACTGGTATACATAATGACCAAAATGAATTAATAACGGACCCTAGCGATATACTTAATACTTGGAAAATGTACACAGCCAATTTGTTCAATGATGACAGAACACAAAAACCACCACAACTGGGAGACCATTTGTATGGCCCAAGTATTTTGAAAGCTGAAATTGTACACGCTATCAAACTATTAAAAAGTAACAAAACCCCAGGACCAGATGATATGTACGCAGAAACAATCAAGTTACTTAATGAAGAAAACCTAGACATTATTGTCAAGCTCTTTAACGACATCTACGATACGTGCCAGATTCCAAAAGATTGGCTTCGATCTACATTTATTGCCCTACCAAAAACACCACGTGCGAACTTCTGCAAGGACCACCGACTAATAAGCCTAATGAGTCACTTTTTAAAACTTTTCCTGAGAATACTTCACACTAGATTGTTTAAGAAATGTGAAGAGGTCAGTGGATGGAGTCAGTTTGGTTTCAAAAATGGACTTGGCACGAGAGAAGCGATCTTTAGTATGCAAACATTGATACAGAATTGTTTAGATCAAAGAAAGGATGTTTTTATCTGTTTCATCGATTACGAGAAAGCATTCGATAATGTAAAACATGAATTGATGATAAAATACCTACAAGAATTGGGATTGGATGCAAAGGATATAAGAATCATCGCCAATCTGTATTGGAATCAGACAGCAACAGTACGTCTTCAAAATTTCAACGAAACAGAAGATTTCTCCATTAAAAAAGGAGTAAGGCAAGGTTGTATACTGTCCCCAATGCTGTTCAATTTATACGTAGAAAAAGCCTTCGCAGAAGCAGTAGAAGACTCTAATAAGGGTATTAAAGTTAACGGCATATTTATTAATAACATCAGGTATGCCGATGATACAGCCATAGTGGCAGATAACATCGAAGATCTTCAATGCCTTTTAAATGATCTAACTCTTGCAAGTGAAGCTCGGGGTTTGAAAATAAATATCAAGAAGACAAAATCAATGATTATAAGTAGAAATGATTACCCCAACGCAAAGATATATGTCTCTGGAGAAGAAATCGAACAAGTCAGGCAATTCAAATACTTGGGATGTTTGCTGAATGAGGGTTGGGACCCCGAGAATGAAATAAAGAGCAGAGTTGAACAAGCCAGAAATGCTTTTTTGAGGCTTCGTAAGTTTCTGACTGATCGCAAATTGGACTTCAACCTCCGATACAAGATGCTTAAGTGTTACGTGTGGCCTGTTCTCCTGTACGGAATGGAAGCATGGACGTTAAAGGCCAGTTCCATTAACAAACTTGAAGTGTTTGAAATGTGGTGCCTGCGTCGAATGCTCAGAATATCATGGACGGACAGGGTCAGAAATAAGGAAGTACTCAGAAGAGCGGGCTTACAGGATAGGGAACTTTTTAATTATGTGAAAAGTAAGAAGACTGCATACTTGGGGCACATTATACGAGGAGAACGATACACTTTTCAGCAACTGATACTCGAAGGGAAAATAGAGGGTAGGAGAGGTCTCGGACGTAAAAAAATGTCATGGCTGCGCAATATTCGACAATGGACAGGAATCCACAGCTATGAAATGCTTCGCAATGCTGCTAAAAACAGAATTATTTAAACCAGAATATTTAACAGCTCACCTGACAAGACGATGTACGGTGGACGCCTACGCAGAAATGCACGGCACCTTAAGAAGAAGTGTATTGGTACAATAATACTACCACACCATTCTTTCGGCATTATTTCTTGTTGCCAGGCCAGTTCTATTTCTGAGTGCACAAGATCGTGAAATTATATACTCGGTTTTATTATGACTAATAACTTAGCAAATAACATATTTTATCAATTACCTCAAACATTTTAACTTTGATATTATTGCTCTGATAATAAATATAATTATAAACTCATTACAGTAATTAAGAAGTATTAATATTACAGTTCAATACCTTAAATAAAAAATGAATGAACTTTTCATATATTTTAATATTTGTTTTAACAGGTTTTCCTTTAACTAAACTAACAAATTTAATTTTTATAAAAGGTTTGAAAAACTAATTAAAATCATAAATCATGCTTATAAATGTTGCAAAATATTTATTTTATTTAATTAATCGAGATTACTTATGCCAGAATGCTTAAATCTGCTTTTTTTACTATTTTTATCAAAAGGGGTGGATTTCATATAATAAATTCCATACTTTTAGGTCGTACTATACTTCTTACAACTCATTTTATGGACGAAGCCGACATCCTTGGTGATCGTATTGCAATTATGGCTGGAGGACAGCTACAATGCTGTGGATCAAGTTTTTTCCTCAAGAAAAAATATGGTGCTGGTTACAGTCTTATTATGGACAAGTCACAGGAATGTGACCCTAGACGAGTTACGCGGCTATTGAAGGAGTTTATATCCGATATTGAGGTAGGGATGGCAAATCTGGTAGAAATTTGCGATTTTAGCTTTTGTACTTTTATTTTTAATATTGTTTTAAAGCTATTTTCTTGTGGCATTTTAACACTAGAAAGTCGGGCTTAGCATACCTACCTAGAAAGCCCGAAGGGATTATTTTGGCCCCAAGTTCCTAAATCAATAAAAACCAAGTTTAGAATGAACTATTTATTTGGAAATAAACAAAAAATAAAAATAAACAGTTTTAAGAAATTATATAAACTCTTGACGATAGAATTTGATTTAATTTTTTAGTTTCATTTTAAACATTTGGAACACCATACAGTTTGTAGTTTTTGGCATTTGCCACACATTGCCTTGTGGCACTCATGGAAGTATGATTTCCTTTACAAAGCATTTTTAACTGACATTTTTTTCTTTTTTGGATAGTAACAGTGCTGGTGGTTGGTAATCCGGTGGTGCTGGGTATAGTACCAGATTTCGGGAGCAAGGTATGGAGCCCGTAACTCTTCACACAGCTGAAGAATAAAGGGTTTTTACCCATGTATTTTGGTGGCTCAGGCATTTTAACCTAGCAATTTTAAACCTGATGATGGACTGTTTAGTCCGAAAACATTTGTTTTTTTTTGGTGTAGCCCTTTTAAGGGTTTTTTTAAATAAATATACCCACTTATGAAGACTAACCTTTTTTTGTGATACGTGGTATACAGCCAGCTACAGGAATTGTTTTCCTTGTGGATTTTTTTAATAAAAAAATAAATTTTGGTCTGCCAAGGGATAGTTCAAAATAAAACCAGAGAACTACGAACACACATTAAATTTATTGTCTCCGAAGGCTCAGGTCAAAAAATCAACAGATGTTGGCCTACTGGTGTGAAAGCGCTCGCAGATAACAATACCAAAGAATATAGACGCTTATCTATATTCTTTGACAATACGAATATAGTATTTTTATGAAATAAAAATATATAGAGGGTTTTATACACGAGAATATTTTATTTAAACGAAACAAAGAAATTCCTAAAATGCTCAAACTAAAAATTGTTGGAAACATAATTAGACCGATAATTGGGAAAATCTTAAATTACAACAGAACAAGACTTCAAAATAAAAACATGATTGCAAATAAACAAACTTACATTAACATAACTTCAAATATTTGCTGTCTTTTTCATCAAACAAACTTACATTAAATTATGAAAAAAACTAAATGCTCATCTACTTTTTGCTATATACAAAAGTTGTCTGTCAATGTTTAATTCGTTACATATAAATAACAAAGATCAAATATATGGATCGGAGTACACAACATATTTAGGGAATAAATATTGAAATGGGAATTACAAATAAAAAATATTAAAACTTTATTTGTTGTATATCGCAATATTTAGTGACAATTTTGTGACTTAATCAGGGGAAAACTGTTAAGTTATTAAGATGAGATATTGACAAAAGTTAAATACTTCATTACTTACAATATATTTAGAATATACTAATACTCTTATAGTTGTGGCAGTTACAATGTGAAAATTTCCGTGGCAGTTACAATGGCTTTGTTATTTTTCGATTATATTACGAAAGATAATTTATTAGGAAATTCCACGACGAACAAATTATATCTTGTATCAACACAAGCCAAAAAGAAGAAAAGTATTATTGTATTATCAATGCCAATATCACAATAAACAAAAAAGTATTTTCATCTATGGTTCCATCAATACGATTTTCACCATTACTTTGCGTTGTGCGCTGTATTTGCAACCTTTTGTAAATCAAAAATAATTACACCATTTAGAATGTCAACAAAAGCCGGCCCTGCATGTAATTATTTTTTCAGTTCAATATTTCATATTTATTGAAGGTCAACATAAATGCTCAATTGTATTTGAGAATTTATATTATGTGATATGCCCACTGACTATTAGTAAGCTGGTTGCTTTCCTGTCATTTTCACTCGTTGGCGGCTTGCCCACGCAAGATCAAAGGAGTGTCGCTTCTCTGCGTTCGTAGTTCTCTGCTTTTAGTTCAAGACTTAATGCTTAGTCTTTAAGTTTTTTTATTATTATAATAGGCGCTTATAATGTATGTAGGCATATATACATATTTATAAAATGTATTTTTCAGATAAATAGTGATGTAGGTTCGGAATTGACGTACCTTCTGGTAGATAATTATGTCGACAAATTTGAACCTATGCTTAGAAAACTTGAAACTCAATCTGAGAGATTAGGAATTACAAGCTATGGTATTTCGCTGACGACACTGGAAGAAGTATTTATGAAGTAAGAATATTTTTAACTAATAAATTAATATTAAATTTAGTAAATATAGAAATAAATTTAAAATTTCAGAAAATTAAAGAAATCTAGTAGATATTCATATTAAAGCTTATAATGTGACTATAAACTACAATATGATTATATCAATTCTTCACTCAATAAATCCTGGCTCCAATAAGTCGTTGTGGACTAGGTTTCAAGAATACGGAATATGCAGTACCTAAAAGTAATTTAAAGTGCAATTAATATACCTTTGACATTGTTGTGAACGAATAGGTGCTACGATGGTGTCGGATGGGATTATCTTTGTGAAAGAATCCTTTTTTCGTTTACAATTGATTTTTTTTTATAATGTATTTCTTCAATCGTAAAAGCAGTACTTAAACTTGTACTGTTGATAGTTCTTGTTTCTCAAGGTAAACAAAATAAGTTTAGCATCCCAAAGTATTGTCACTGAATGTTCGCGTCTTTGATCGTATTGTATGTACTGTCGTACTGTCGGTTCATACTCTACAGTAACTTGGATTCTTGGATGGTTACCAGCTGCTGATCTAGAAGAAGAACGAAGACTCTTCGGTTCCATGTTCTTAATATTTGAGAAATTGATAAAGTCCGGACTGTCACTAACTGGAGGTTTATCGGGACTCAGATGTCAACGGGGTGCTACTGGCAATATAGAGTATTTTAACAATTCGAAATTTCTTACTTTTAAATTAATATCTTACATAACACAGGTTCAGGAGTACTCTATGCTCAGAAGGCACCTTAATTGTTAAACAGAGATATTGGTTCATCCAGTCTCGATGTGCAATCGATACTATATATAGTACAGGTTGTTTACAACTGTCGTTGTTTTCCTGTCCCTAGTTTCCATCGTTTTCTATCTCGGGTGTCGGCTTCATTTAGCTGTCTTCCTTCCATGGCTTCATTCACGTCATCTCGCCAGCTTCTTCTTGGACGCCCTCTTTTCCTTCTTTCGGTTGGGATCCATTTTAATATTTTCTTTGGCCACCTCTCGTCTGCCATTCTGTTTACATGACCGAATCAAGTTAGTTGTTTTTTCTGGACTTCATCTATAATGTCTTTTTCTTGCTCCATTCTACGTTTTATTTCTTCATTGCGGATTCTGTTCATCCTTGTCAATCTACAGCTTCTTCTCATAAAATCCATCTCGGTAGCTTGTAATTTTTTCCTGTTTCTTTTACTAGTGTCCCATGTCTCTGCTCCGTATGTTACCACCGGTCTCAACTATCGTCTTATATATTCGTTTTTCGTCGTTCTTGTGATTTTTTTATCCCAGAGAATGGAGTTTAGGAATTTGGTAAAGTTTCTGCCTTTGTTTATTCTTGTATTTATTTCTTTATGGCTATTTCCGTCTTTTGTAAACACTACTCCTAGGTATTTAACTCTATTTGTTCCTTTGATTTTGTCACTCTCCAATGTCAGGTCTTCGACTGTATTTTTCCCCACTGAGAGATATTCGCATTTTTGTAAGTTCATTGTCAGTCCACATTCTTCGTACGCTGTTTGTAGTTTCCTAACGATATAGCTGAGGTCGTCGATATCTTCTGCTACCACCAGTTGGTCATCAGCGAAGAATAGTGTATAGAGAATATCCTCATCTATTTGTATTCTTGATCGATCTTTCGATCCTATCGATACTATCTTTCTTGAAATTTTGATTGTTTCACGAATTGCGAAGTCTTTTCTAGACTTTCATTTATTTTGACTATTTCACTAGACTATTTTAAACTAATAAAACGTCATAGCAATGCCACGTTTCCTACTGACAAAACTCCTTCCTGTCCGTAATTTCTCAGCGACAAAATTATGACAGATAAGTCACGAAGGTGTCTGGTAATTCTATTGTTGTCAGTTTGACAAACTTCATTGAGGCGTAAACGTCATTGGAGAGTAGAATTTGAATTCTTGTTAAAGTTAAATGGGATTTGTATGCATTCTGTGATGAAATTACTTGACGAAAATAAGTTAAGAGGTTCAATAATTACAATAATCGTACACATAAGGATATCTCTAAACGATTTATGAAAGATTATTTTATTGACATATACAAAAAACTGACATTTCGAACGTGCAACTCTCCAATGACGTCACGACTTATGCGCAATATCTTATCTTCTTATCATAGTATCATGGATATAATGAATCCAGACGAAAAATCAACATTTGAGTACCAGTCAGGTGAAGAAATAAAAAAATTGATTTCGGAATATGTCAGTAATACACAAAATCATGCTTTGGTAGAAAAGAATGGGCAAACTGCTATAGCTTATAATAATTGTTTATTTAATATTGTTAACAAATAAATTAAGATTTTGTTTCGTTGATATGGTGCTTTAATTGTCTCATGAAATATGTCTTGTCTTGTCGGATATCTCTCGAGAGAAAATTTTTTATCGGGAAAATTTTCTTCTGGTTTTATTCAACTTTGTTGCCTTGTTGTTTGTTGTCTGTCACTTGACTGACATCTCGTGACTTAACTGTCAAAATGTAATTCGCGAAAATTGTCAGGCAATAAATTTTCATATTGTTCTGAAGCTATTTTCTTGTGGCATTTAAAAGTAATTACTATTTAAATGGGAATTAGCCACAATTAAAGGTTAAAGTACGTTTATTAACGTTTCAATTTTCAGTTCGGAAATCGTTCTCTAAATACAAACAATGTTTCAGCTCGTTTACCAATAACAGAAATAATTCTGAGTATCTTCAGACTTTTATTTATTTCTAACCTTTGATGATATAGCGGCGCCTTTCGACCGTTCGACACTTTGTGAAATAATATGAAATAATTCTTTTCAGACTATTCTTTATTTCCACCAAATAATATCCTAACCGCAAAGTGCTTAATTCCTTCACTTGATATTTGAGAAATAATTTTAAAGTCGTGAGACTCTATATTTATTTACAACAAATTTCTAAGTGTCGAAAATTTTAGTTGATGAAGTCTAGAAGTTCGATGATTGGAATAGGTGAGAAAATAAAATGCAGAGTTTCGTTGAAATGGGCTACTCAGCCAAAATAAGTCTTGCTTGTTGAGATTAAGAACAAGCCTCTCATCCGGCCGAAGGATCTACTGTTTTTATGCATTTAGTAATTGAGTATGAGCAGTGATCTTCCCGTCGAAAGACTAATGAAATCCAAGATAATATTCTTTGTCGTGATTAGCCAGAGTGATAATCTTAGAAATTAAATCCACAAGGAAAACAATTCCTGTAGCTGGCTGTATACCACGTATCACAAAAAAAGGTTAGTCTTCGTAAATGGGTATATTTATATACCCATTTATATACCCAATACCCATATACCCATATACACATATACCCAATAAATATACCCATTTACGAAGACTGATAATCTTAGCTTTGATTGGCCCACTCCGGCGGCAACATTTTCGTAGCTCTTGTTTGCTCAGCTCTTTGTTAATTTAATTTGATAATTTAGTGGTGAATCCATGGTTTCTCACAAATGTTCATGCAAAAAGGATAATACTTTGACTTCTGATATATTCAACTCCTCTGTTATATTACACACCGTTATTTTACAATTGTCCCAAACGATTCTGTCAATTTTCTGATATTTTACGGGGAAATGCTGTACTTATCGAAGGGGCCAAATGAGATTTGCTCAGTTCCAATGAGGCATTTTATAGAGAACATGCTGTTAGTGAACTATCTTCATGTTTTATCTGACGGTTGTTGAGGGCAAAATAAAATCTTCACCGTGTTAAGATTTTCTCCGCTTGACTTCTCTCGAAAAATTTAAGAACATTGACCATTAGGTTCCTATTAGGGGTTATTCCTTCCTACCTTGTGGATTCTGTGGCGATTAAAAGAAAAAATTAGAAAAGTAGACCATATATAAACCATGGAAGAATATGGACAGCGGATGAAAACTTCATGTAAAAATAACCGCTTTAATGTGGTATTGGTCAATGCTGAAGACGTAGTTCATTACAGTAGTTGGTGGCAGGAGTACTACAAAAACACCATGTTATCCGCGGAATTCAGCGGCAAAAATATACCAAAGAATCAGGAGGTTCAACTAAAAATAAGCCAATTCATGCATTTTCACCACTCTTACGAGAACTCAAACTTGGTTGTAGCACACCCTTTAATTAACGGATTAACCATTCACAAGGATTAACAATAATAAAAAACAATACACTAATATTCCGTAAAGCATTGATATATCCCAGTGGAAAGACTCCGACCAATTATAAGATTAGATAAAGTCAGACCATCACTTCTTAACCATTGTACAACGTACCAGAAATCAACTAACTATTATCGTATTACTACCTTGGTTAAAACAAGAAAAAAAAAACAAAAAAAAACATTTAAACACTCTAATTTTCAATTTAAGGGGATATATTTAGTAAATATTATCATTCTTAAATTTTAGCCTCCTGAGCGGCGGAGGCGCTCAAATGGATACCGTAAAACGGGGTTACTTTCCACCATAGTTTTTAGTTTCATTTTCTTAAAGTGGATATAACGTTACTCAAAAGAATATCTGAACTTTTTATTATAAATATCTATTCAACAGGTCGTAATATAGCTCTTATTATAGCTGTTTCTTAATTATATTGCATAATTAACAGGAGTTGCATTTAAGTTTGCAGAGTTGCAACAGGAGTTGCTTTTAATGGCAGGGTCGGAAAAAAACAAAACTATAAAATAGTTGGTCCTTACGGAGAAAGCATAACAAATGACAATGGGACCAGACTTATCACAATATGCGAACAGAACCAGCTCCGTATTACAAATGGATTCTATCAGCATCGAGAAGTATACAAATACACCTGGGGACAGAGAACAAGGAATCTAAAATCTATAATAGATTACTTGATTGTACGCCAAAGATCAAATCTTAAAATCTACGACGTAAGAGCTTATAGAGGCGCAGTTTGTGGAAGCGATCACCATTTCTTAAAAGCAAAAATAATGTTTTCAAGAAGAAGCCAGAATGAACAACCAGTAGTT